GTTGTTTTTACTCTCAATGGAAATGAGAGAGAACGGAGGGAGAGGAAAAGAAGAGGAGAGGGTGATTCACAAAACTATAACGGATATAAAATAATTCACTTCTAGACCTGCAGAAAGAGAGAAAGAGAAAAGGGACACACAAAAATCCAACAGAACCAAGATATCATTGTGCCAAACAAGATGAGGATTTATAACAGTAACAATGAATGCTGAAAAACACACAGTAAGTGTAAGTCATTCATGGTGCATTATTCCAATCAGGCAATAATGTTTTCTAAGGAAACAGCAGATTGCACTGTTGACTTGCAGCTTTCACTCTGTTGTCAGAGAATTTACAGCAATCTTCAAACTAAGCAAGCATGTTGCAATGATGGAGAGGAAAACTCTACTTTAACAGGAGGAAACCTCCAGCAGAACATGTCTAAGTATGAGCAACCGTCTGTCTCAACCAGGGTTCGAATTACTGGGGAGCTAAGGGGAGCCCGGCTCCCCTAAAAGGGTGACGTGACGTCTGAGACACATGCTTTCCAACAACTAACTATTTAAAAAGCAGCAATGTTTCTGTGATTTGATGCCCAGATCTGTGCTTGAAAACACAACAGCAACACAACAGTGTGGGTTCCTTTGTGGGATGACCACCTTTTCCATACCTGACATCACTTTGATGCTTTCACTGTGCGAACCGTCTCATACGGTGACTCATTTCAACCAGCAACCCCTGCTCTGGGAAACTTGCTGACTTTCCCATCATTAAAGCTGCATCACTCTTGTCACCACTGCATACAGACATGAAAAATGCACCTCTTCAAAAGTAAAACTCCAAACAGAACACAATATGCTGCATTTGAAGCTGTGGGAAATATCATCAGACTACTGAGCACATGTTCAGTGAAGAAAAACAACAAGGAAGTGGGCGGGGCCTGGATCCGTTATTTGAACATGAACAGTTTTGAGGTCTTTAAAAGCTTTTACTGTACACGGACCACTGATGTTGAAACACCTTTTTAAGGGAACAATAAAAGAAGATCTGAACAAAAACAGTGAGGTCATCAAGCTTTCATCTGCTGCCAACAAAAGAGCCTCAGTCACCAGACCAAGCAGCCAAGGCGTTTAGGATTCATATTAAGACCATCCATTTATTTGACACTCACAAATGCATTATCATAAATCTGATGAGGTGAAAGTCACAGACTGCATGTAAAATGCAACTATCAGAAAGGCCCTGCTTAAAATCCCTCTGCAGCATATTGGGAGTGTTATGTTACCATCATGACAGGACTGTGATAGTGCAATTGCACGGTGTTCCAAATGTGCAACTTTTGTTTCTATGTGAGATTAAAAACAAATAATTTTATATCTGTTGCAGGTTTCTTCCTGAACAGCCTCTGTTCAGAGAAATGGCATCTCAGGGGACTCGTTAGCTAACAGCTAGTACAAGCACAGCTGTGACAAAGTGTAATGCTGCCCAATTTCCTACATTTCATAGCAGTTCATGCAATGTTACCTCATGAACTCTGACTCTGACATTAGTGTAGCATCTCCCAGTTATTTACATGGAAGTCTGTGGACATTTACAAGCATAAATCAGGACCAAAGGTACAAATTCTTGTGCAGGATTAAAGTCTGACATTTTCCTGTGAAACTGAAAGTACTGTTAAGGTTTATAAAACAATGTCCCATAAACTGCTGAAAGATTTCTTTGAAACCTTTAATAAGGCAGCAATGTACTTAAATTTTAGCTGTACTTAAACTAGCCATTAGCCTGTCAGTCTTAAGCCTCCTTTCCACTGGATGTGTATGCGGTGTGCAGCTAAAATGGAGTTTTATCAGCGAGCTCTCTTCCAGCTGGGAGCGTTTCAGAAGCAAAACAACAGAGAAAGCGTTCCATGCCGCTGGTCCTGCAACGTCACAAAATCACGGGAGAACTGCAACAATACGCGTGATTTCTGAAGTCCACACAATAACAACCAAGGGAAAAAAAACAGCTGCATGTATCTAAAAAGTCTGTGGTTTATTTTCTGTTCAGTTTAATGGTTTTCCTAAGATAATAAACAAATAAATACATTGACTTACGGGGGTTTCACAGGAAATGATGTACATTTATTTGTATGTGACTTTCATTTTGAAATTTTCCGAATGCTGTACACTACTTTCGTGTTTGACTTCCTATCGGGCTTGATCTGAACTTCTGAGTTTGACGAGTTTTGGAATCGTAGTGCATAATAAATAGGCTGGAAACGTAATGATAGCTTCCTTTCGCTTCTGGGAAACCCGTCCACTATAACCGCGAATAGTTGGAGTGAAGTAGGTTTCACAGCCGTTTCTCAACGCTTTCATGTCGGATGGAAAGGAAGCTTAAGAGTTTTGACATAAAACATGAATAAAAACTTGACCTAGAGTGTTTCTCAATGCCAAGGAACCTCGCCTTGATGTTTTGGCCCCGCCCTGGTTGCCTAGAAGATATGTCATCAGGAGCCGCCAATGTTCATGTTCTACCGAGGCGTATGTTCTCCGTTTGTTAGCCATTTAGCTAGCTGAGCAAAGATACACGGGAGGTGTCTTGTAGCCTAGCCTTGGTCAAAAATTTCCTAAAATACACTGCGGTCTTTTCAAAAAGGATGGCAGCAGCTACTTCGGGGACAAATTTAAAGTTTAAAAGTAAGTCAACTAATTTAAAATGGTTTTTTTTAGATCCAAAGAAGTTAACTAATGTTGGTTAGTTGCTTATTAGTTGCAACTTCTGTGGCTAGCAGGTAACTCACTTATATTTTTAATTTAACAAATATGTACACAATTTAAAAAGTAAAATGCTCGTTATATATTTATATTGTAACTTATACATATAAAATATAACGTCATCTCCCGTGTCACATGACTTTACGTGACCGCAGTGGAAGCCGTGATCATGTGATGCAAGTCGGTTCCATTTAACCGTTTTTCGTGACCAAGGAAGGACAGTGTCCTCGTAAGCAAGGCGCCTGGCCTCGCAAGACATCGCCTCGCAAGGCCAGGCTCCTTGACATTAAAGCTTCTTTCTGGAGTTTTTCTCTTATCCAATGGCACCATCTAGTGGCTGACAAGCATATCACACAAAAAAATCTGTTGCTCTGTTTTTTTAAGATGGCAACTTCACGTTTCTGTTTATAAATGTGCTTCTGTAGCCAACAAACAGCTAAAACACTCTGTTTTACTAGTATTATTCTCATGTCATGTTGTGTTTTCATATATTTATGTTTTAGAGACTTACTTGTCCATGAAAGGTTCATCAATTCTGCATCAGCCGAGGTCTTCCTTTAATCTGAAGCATCTAAGCGGTAGTCTAACGCTATTGGTTAGTTCTGGTCGGTGCTCAGTTTCCTATTGCACGGAGGTCTGCGGGTCAGGAGGCGCTTAGCAAAAAAATAAAGAAAGAAAAGACGCATCACTTACATTTTATCACAGTACACAATGAGATAATCACTTTTACGTATTTCTGAAAAATCATACATCATTTCTGTAAGGGGAAAACACCTCTAGACTTGCTTCCAGACAGGATGAGGTGCTGAAAGTTCCTCCTACACCCTTGTTCTTAACCACTGTGTTTTTAAAGGCTTTAATCACTAAATACTTCTAAAGACATTGGAAATTTATTTTCAGTTTTAAAAAGGAAAAACATCCCATTGTTCACACGGAGGGACTTAAAACTTGCACTGGAACTGGTCACTAGAGGGTGCTGTGGGTCTTTTTGACTTTAGCTCCTACCTGACTACATCTGCGGTGGTCCTGGAGGATGTAAAAGCTATTTCTCTAAACTGGTGCCATTCAGGGATGTATCTCTGAAATAGGTATGATTTGATTTATTTATTAGTTTTACACAAAAAAGAGACTTCAGTTGTCTATAATGCCTTTGGGGCTCTGCACACAGGAGGCGACATCGCCTCTCCATTCATTTTCAATGAGACATGTGCGACAAAGCGATAATCGCGGGTCTCCCTCCTACTAAGCGAAACGCGAAAACCGTGCGTGTGAAATTTTGCGCTCGTGCATGTGTCGTGCACAGGCGACCCAGCGACACGAGCAAGGAAGTGGGCGGGGACTGGATCCGTGTGTGAATGTGTGTGTGAATGGGTGAATGACTGATTGTGTTGTAAAGCGCCTTGAGGGGTTCCAGGACTCTAGAAGGCGCTATATGAAATACAGGCCATTTACCATTTACCATCCCAGAAAGTTGAAATATTTCCAACTTTTCGTCGCTGTCGCTCGGACGAGGACCAATCAACGAAGGTTTCATTCACTGACCAATGAACGGACAGGATGCTCCGTACATCTCCGAGCGAACATGAAGGAGAAGTTGATTATTATTATGTTTTACATAGTAAAATCAGAAGTAAGATTTCACATAACTCTAGCAGCACCTTGTGAAACATCATATCTACTGCCTTTTTAACTCTGAACCGCTTAAATAACCTTAATTCCCTCCAACCTGACACAGCCAAACAAAACAATGGACGTTTCGATTTCGCCATGGAACAGAACGCGTAGACGGCTGTGCCACTGGCCGCTGCCGCGGGTCACCTCCCGTGTGTCAGGTAATAAAAGCGACAGCGACAAATTTCGCTGATCGCGGTCGTTTGTCGCCACCCGTGTGCAGAGTCCCTTTCAGGTGGAGGAAGTTTCAGCCACCTCCAGGCCTGTCCTTCCACTGACCAGGGGCGTGGCCAGGGAGTGGCCAGAGGTAGCACATGCCACCCTTGGAATCTGATTGGCCACCCCAGGTGCTACCACACTAATTTACCTTTAAATAGGCTTTTCAATTTCCACTAAAGGTTTGGGGGTGAAACAAAAAAGCATAACCAATGGTGCCACCCATGCACAAAGTTGTGCCTGACCTGGGCCACCCCATTTTAAAAGATCTGGACACGCCACTGCCACTGACACCTGTCAGCTCCACCCCACGTGGACTTGCACCTTTCTCCCCTTGGTGGGCGGGTCCAGCGCTCTTTAGGACCCAGTGGCTCCTGCAGGAAGCCAGGCACATGCTCGGCTCTCAGACTGAAGCAGACAAAGGCAGAGAGAGGAGAGACGGCGTGCAGCTATCCAGCAGCATCGAATCACACACACTTACACTCCCCTCCCCGCACACACACACACGCACACAATCACACACACTCCCTTCACTCCGGGAGCTGCGACGCAGGTGAGTCCGCTTCTGCCTGTTTGAGCTCCTGTCTACTGTTAGAACCGAGTTTAAGTGATAGTATGTGGACCAGGGAGTTGGTACTTATGGTTAATTAGGTCTGCATGAGGTGACTTTAGTTGGGCTGGAGGTGTGCGCACACCCAGTCCCTCCTTTTTTTTATTCTGAGAAGTCAAATGGAAGCTTTCTGCCATGTGGTCGCTCCTATCATCATAAATCAGAGAAACTTTTATTTTCAGTGTGGTAAACTATATTTATTCAGCTAAAGCATGCAGATGCACGAGGCAGAACGTGCTGGTTTGTCAGAAGAGTGTGTGTGCGCGCGCGCGCGCCGACTGAAGTGTTGTGTGGGAGGCTCAGCCAGGAACACAGAACCAGCCAAAAATATCAATGACACCACGCAGAGTTACTGCAATGCTGCCTAATGGCCAGTCTGAGATTCGTTTGGTGGCACTCTGTGAATTTTGTCTGAGGAACTGACCCAATCGGAACCAATAAGAAACCCTCTGTGCATTTTTAAAAACCTTATCATGATGAGAGAGGCTGAGATGTGCTGGTGTGAGGATGCACTTGATGAACCTGAGCTGGAGTCTGAGCCGGCTGCTGCTGCAGTAGCAGTGATGTCACCGTGAAACCAGGCTCCCTGTTGGAGACAATGGACTGTCCTAGTTGATGCTCCACTGGGGAAGGGTCACGGTTAGCCATGGCTATTAGTGCAGCAGATGGGCCTGAAACCTGGCCTTTGTCAGCTGAGGAGCATCACAAAAGTCCCACCCCTGTCAGTGTTCTGGGATCATAAAAAAAAACCAGTCAGCAGCTCAGCCATGAGGGTAGCATGAGTGGAGCGTCCTCCACGTGGGTGGGTGGTGACCACGTGTATCCCCCTGTCTGTCAGCACTGTCCTCTAGAGAAAGCTGTCTGCTTATAGGTTGTCTGGTGCGTTTTAATGAGGTGGGTTATAAACATCAGTCTTTTACTTGTTTAAATACTTTTTTCTATGAGGAGTTAAAGGATCCATGTCAGTGGTGCAAAGCAGCATTAGAAAATAAAAGTAAATATTAAACTTTAGGTTGATCACTTAAATGTTTCTGTTAGAATATTTAAGAAGAAATGTCTCTCTTGATCCATAAAGGAAGCTATCCTGCATGCGTTAGCACACGTGTTCCTGCTCCAACACACCTGCCTCTTCATCAAGTTCTCAAGCTAGCCTGTTGGGCATCGATTCAGATCGGGTGTGTGTGATCAGAGAAACCTCTGAACGGGCAGGCTGTGGCCCTCAGGTTGCGTCCATCAACTTAAATCCTAAAATAAACAGGCCGAAAAATCTGAATATGTAATTTGATTAAAACATGTGTGTGAAATATTCTTTCTGATTTAATTTTAAAATTGTTTTTAAATGCAGTCTTCTAAAACTAGAACCTTCTCGATGCAAATCCACTCCCAACATCATCAAAACTAATTAAGTTACTGAAAGGCAAAGTTTAACATCTGAATAGACTTCAGCAGAAACCAGTTGTGTTGGCCCAACGACCAGAGGAGACCTGCGGGATGATTTCATTGTGGAGGTGTTTTGATGAGTTAAGTGATGGCATCAGTGGAACAGAGCTTTAATCTGTGCACAGCTGAGTTCCTCTTTAATGTGGGTGTGGTATTTGACGGTTGTGCACCTGTGCTCACCATCAAATCTGTATAGCAGTGTTTGTTACCAGGCTGCGGTTGTCAGAGGTTTTATCTGAGGAAAAAAGGTGCACCAATCGTCCTCGTCTGCAGGTAGGTTAAGAGACCCAACAGGCGCATCATTTGTTTTTAGGACCGATAAACCGTCTCTGATTTAAATCGGCACACGCTTCTTTCTGTCGCTTATGGAAATGATCAGAGGAGAAGCTCTAAATGTAAAATGCTCAGTTCTATCAGATATCAGCTGTTGAGCAAACCTCATTAAAACTTGTTAAAAAAAACTCACAGGTGTTTCAGAAAAGTCTTTAGAAGTTAAAGTTGTTGTTTTAAAAAAATTATTTGATTTGATTTTAGGAAAATTGCTTTTAAAATAGCCTCTCAGGAAAAAAAGCACTAAATATTTAAACTCTGATTCATCTGCAAAATTCAATTCAATTCAAAGATACTTAATTAATCCCAGAGGGAAATTAGAGTTTCAGTACACACTATTCTAGAATTGGTGACCGTGGTCTTTCGCAACCCGAGTCGCGCTACCTTAAAAGATCTGCCTCTGACGAAGCTGTCATGAATCAGGATAAAATGTAGAATTTGTTTTACATAAATTAGCTAATGTGTTATTTTTCTGATTTGTGAAGAGTTTATCCAAGTGAAACGAGGCAAAACCCCCAACCCATTCACATAAATAAGGTGTTGACTTAAGGGTCATCTTAATCTAGTTTACCTTTTAAACTTAGAGTTCTCATTCAAGATTTATTCCTTTCAGTTTTTCCAAGTCCTTTCTAGGAAGGTCGTTTTTCATTTAGCTGGTTTTCTTTGTTGCATCTGGTGAGACAGCTGTTAACAGATGCTTGTAGGTGGAATTGCGGGCTGCTCGCTACGTACACACATTTAATGTGATCATTTATTTGGATGTATCCACCACAAAAGGCCTCTAGTCTCGTGTTCATTGAGAATTGGTTTGAAGATCTTTGCCTTTTTCTCATTTTTTCAGGAAACTTCTTGTTCTTGTTTAATCCCATCATGCAGCAAAATCAGTTTGTTAAAGTTTACGTAACATTTGAAACAAAAAGCAACAATTGGTACATCTCAAAGCAATTATTTTCACTATAAACCATCAGAAGCAAAGCCTGCAACTATTAAGACTTATAATCCAGTGTTTTAATTGAATGAAAGCGGGTTTGGACAAGTTTAGTGTAACTTTTTACAACTAAACCAAATATGTAGAGAGCCTTTCAGGACAGGAATGTGCTCTGTGATAACAGTCCTGGGTGGTCGGCTGTTTTCTGATCTTATTCATTCATCAGATATGTTCATGTAAAGAACAAAGTGGAACTTCCTGTAGGCCAGCTCAACTCTTTAATGGAGGGATTTTTCAAAAGAAAATGCAGACAATGTCTTGAAATAAGCAGCTGCAGCTTTTCTTAAAACTCAGATTCTCAAACTACATCTTCTCTGCATCCTTCTGCTAGCAAAAGCTTTCCCTTTGGTCTGAGAAAGGATGTGTTCCTAAATCAAAATGCAGCTTTCAGCTTCGCCTGAATTCAGCTCCTAAAAGCTTCAGTCCAGAGAAGATGGGCGTTTCTTTGATCTGAACCAGGATCACAGATGATGATTTCTGATGTAATGAAATCTTGGATCATCTTCTTTTGGACAGATTCATAGAACATCTGTGTTTCTGATATTACATCTTTAGCATCTGTGGTGTCTAATATTGGTTAGGGTTACCCGCAGGTGTTTCTCTGCTCCAGGACACCTGACTGGGGGATGCTGAAGTGGTGGTTGAATCAGGTGTGTTGGAGCAGAGAAACAAATGCAGGATGGTGGCCCGGAGGACCAGGATTAGACTCTGCTGTGGTCTGATGGCTTGAATTGTTCATTTTTTGTAATTTTTTTAGCGAACCAAAGGCTTGTTGTCGTCCTAATGGATTACTGTTTCCTTCCTCTCCCAGATTCTCCACAACTGATCGCCACCTCATCCCTTTCCTTCACAGCCACCATCACTATAAGCCATCATGGAGCTAGACTTTGGACATTTTGATGAACGGGACAAGACATCCCGCACTCCACGGGGAGGACGCATGAATGGACTCCCCAGTCCCACGCACAGTGCCCACTGCAGTTTCTACCGCACACGCACCCTGCAGGCTCTCACCAACGAGAAGAAAGCCAAGAAGGTGCGCTTCTACCGCAACGGAGACCGCTACTTTAAGGGCATTGTGTACGCCGTGGCGAATGACCGGTTCCGCACCTTCGATTCCCTCCTGGCTGACCTCACACGCTCACTCGCCGACCACATCAACCTGCCGCAGGGCGTCCGCTTCATCTTCACCATTGACGGCTCACGCAAGATCTCTACCTTGGATGAGCTGGAGGAAGGTGAGATGATGTTTGTTTTCTGCCTCCACAGTCGTGCCTTCAGGCATTTAACTGTTTGAGGTGGTCCTACGGCCCAACGGACGGTCTGACAGACCATCTGTAGTTCATGTCCTCAGATAAAACTCTAATCATCGTCCTCCAGAGTCCTCTGAACACCGTGGCATCAGGACTTTTACACAGAAATAAAACTTCCATTTTTTAGGTATTTTTGTTTCACCTGAGGATTTATCATCAAAAACAAAAATTTCTTGCATTACTGAAAACATACATTTTTAATCAGCTGTTCATAAAAACTGTAATGATCATTAAAAACTGTATAATGTTCACATCAGAAGGTGTGGCCGTACAATCATTTACTGCAACTGATTCAACCCAAACCTGCTTGAACTTTTGCTTAAAGGCATAAAACTCTGTAAAATCACAGCAAAGAGGTAATATTGACCATGAGAACAGACCATTAAAGAGTCACCTTCTAATCAACCTTTTTTTTCCTGATAAACTATATAAATGTGTGTCTAATCGTGCTGCAGACACGTGTGATCAATAGTTTTGCACTTTAGTGCATTTTAATTAAAAATTTAATTTTCTGCCTAAAACTGTCAGTGTTGTGCCGTTAGGTAAAAACTCTGCACTGCATTTGAATTTAAATCTGCCATCGCTATTGGCTAAGAGGTACCGTAGAATGTTAGCTGGTACCATATGATGTCACAATGTCGTGTGTGTGTGTGGGGGGGGGGGGGGGGGTCATTTATTCTGCTTCCTCTTGTAGCGTGTAATTAATTGCTCAATCTCCTCTGCAGACTGTAATCCGGTTGTAATCCTTTTGTCTTTGCTGTAATTTCTCCTCATTTGGACTAATTGTTGCTGTCTGGATTCCTTTTGAGAATTTCCTCCTTCCTTCTGTCTCCCTGCTGAATTTATCTCTAAAACAAACCAAAGCAACCTGCAGCAAAGCCGAACAAAGAGATCAAGACCAGCTTTGAGTATTTGACAAGACATAAAATAAATGTTTCAATAGTCGGAGGACTGAAAATCCTTCTTAAAACAGAGTGCATGCTGGGTATTTTTATGCAAATCAAATCCAGCCGATCAATGGAAGCTTTAAACTCCAACCAGACTGAGTTGACATGTGACGACGTGTCTCTGCTGTATTCTAAGGCCAGCGTTTGCTGGAAGGCAGAAAATGTTGAGCTAATTTGCACACCGTGTCCTCGTGGGACATATTTACTCCTGTCAGCTCAAACCCAAATACATACAAGTGTTGCATGTTATGTTCCAGATTTCTCGAGTCTTATGCAGGGCTACTCAACACACACACACATGTATGTATATATATATATTACATAGATGGTGTTGCATTATCAATATTGCAGCACATCAGTAAATGTAACCAGTGAAATGAACCCTTTTTGCCATAAATGGCAGTTTTAATAGCTGAAAGTGAATGTTTCTCAGGTTATTGTGTAGAAATAAACAAAGGTGGGCGTGAGCATAGATGGTCTAGATTATTTCATCTAAAGTGAATAAAGCTGTCGGTCAAAACCTGAAATAAGTCTGGTCAGCTGCTGTTATGACGATTCGGGCGTATTTCTGTCTGGAACAGGAAAATGTCTCCTTCAAAATCAAATGGTCATCAGATATTTTGTTTAATATAAATGTAGTTGTGGACAGATGATGACTTTGCCTGGAGGAAACTCTGCCCTTCCCTGCAGCAGCGTGTCGCACAGCGTTCGTATTTAGAGGAAGTGTTGGGATGTGGGCGGCTGGGATCTCTTTTCTAATCAGCTGGAAAAATGTGATGCATTAAATGAGATTTCATCAGGATTTCACATTTATGAGAAAGCACAACATTTAAATATGGCAAGCTGCTGACACGTGAGCCAGCATGGATTTGTTTAGACACGAGCAGGCCTACAAAAATAGGGAATAAGCAAAATAACGAGCGGTATGGAAATAAAAGTGGACAACAGTAAAATAGGTGGTTAGAATCAAGGATGGGTTGCTTTTCATTTATGGTCATTCAACCACAAACGGGCAGGTGTCCTCGAGATGAAAGGAACTCCGAAAACATCCGATGCATTTATTTCAAATTAAACTTGAAGGTTTATTCTGCTAGAATAACCCTTATCCTGATCCTCCTGCTTCTGTTTTAGTTTCAGACAATAAATCAACCAGAATATTATTTGGAGTTTATTTGTGATGATTATTTCTGTGAATTTGGTCAAATTAATGTTTTAATGAAGTTAAAGGAGCTTATCTGGATGAGCACAGATGTAATTTCAGATGTCCTCGATGGTTTCTGGAGGTCTAAATGTTGCCGACTGGTCCAGCTCTGAGACTCCCGGGTGTCAGATTGCTGAATTGGTTAGAGCTAAACGCTTTTCTCCTTCCCTCCACAGGGGAAAGCTATGTTTGTGCATCAGAGAACTTTTACAAGAAGGTCGATTACACAAAAAATGTCAACCCCAACTGGTCTGTGAACGTAAAGGCTTCTGCGAGCCAGAAGAACATGCAGTCCTTGGCTGCCAAGGCCGCCGGCGACCCCAGAGAGGGGAAAGACTTTGTTCGGCCCAAGCTGGTCACGGTGATGCGCAGCGGCGTGAAGCCACGCAAGGCCGTCCGCGTCCTCCTCAACAAGAAGACGGCGCACTCCTTCGAGCAGGTGCTCACTGACATCACAGAGGCCATTAAGCTGGAGAGTGGTGTGGTCAAGAAGATCTACACGCTGGACGGCAAGCAGGTGAGTTGAGGAAGTGGTGTGGATGTCGCTGGCTGCTGTAAATCTGAATTCACTGGAACAGGATATGAATATGAAAAACTGTCCCCTCTAAAATTCAAATGTGCAAAGCTGCTGAGGCCTGAGTCAACATTCATTAGTTTCAGCCTTCTGATGTGGGAGTAGGTGGAACAGAGGTGGCGTTGTTACCAGAGATCACAAAAGGAAAATTTGTGGTCAGGATTGAGGATGGGTTTCCTTTCATTCATGCTCATGTAGTCCTACACTGACAGGTAGGAAGATAAAAGGAAACCAAGGGATGAAATGACCTGCTGTCCTCTCCTAACCTCGGTTATCTGATGTGGTCGGCTCATAAGAGCGCAGCACAGCCGTTCTCATCACCGGCGCTCTTTATTCCGACTTCTGGTTTCGGGTGATGAGTTCTCCTGTTTAGTGGTTTTGGGATGTTGGGTTTTAGGCCATCGAGGGTTCAAAGGTCCTGGGAAGTTCTGACTGTACAAAAGGCCGATCCCTGCATTCTTCTAGTTTGTCATTTAGTTCCTGTTGCTGAGAAACCCGAGCGAATCTAAACGAACCTTTATGCAAACAAGTCAACTTTCAAGTGACAATGTGTAGTTTGTACTGATCTCTGGAAATATCCATCAAAATGTAGAAAATGAACAAAATGGTGTCCAGTTATTGAAAAATGTTGGCAGTTTTATAACATAACCATAAAATCGTGTCTAAAGTACATAAGATGTGGGTCTAATGCCTGATTTATACTTGTCCTTCTGTGTCGTGCGGAGACGCGCAACGCCATTATGCTTCGGCGCAAGGGTTCTCCGACGGGCTCACAGAGGCTAATGGAGACATGCCCAAATTTTTAAACATTTGTCGAAAGTGACTGAGACAGCAAGCTTTTGATTGGTCAGGATGCCGCTTCCTGTAAAGTCGTCGCCAGCACCGCCATTGCCCCATTAAAAAGTAAAAAGATATTAAGCGGCAGACCCATAACCGATTGAAGAGCACATCGCGGGTAAAGTCTGAAAATATGAACATTTATTCACCCGTGACTGGATTACAAAATTTGGAGCAAACGTGGACCGAAATGACGGGAAACGTGGGTTTAGAGGCGGTGACTGCATGAAGAGGTGGAGGAGAATGAAGGACAAATGTTCTAAAGTCTTTGAAATATTTAAGCACATTACACTGTAAACCCAAATGTTGAAAATAATCAAAAATATTGAGTAGGTGACACATTTATAAATTAAAAAGTATTTAGAACTCAAATGTGTTGTGTTAGTTCAACCTTTTCTTTTAAGTATATAGAACTCATTAATCTGAAAATAAATTTTCTGTGAGCATGAATCTATAAAGAACAACTAAACTTGAATAGTACTATTAACAAATCTTTATGTTTCTATATCAATTATTCATTATGTCAACTTGGTGTGTCTGATAAAACAGACTTGTATTCTTAAAATATTTGGATTTATAGGAAAAAACTAGCACAAACGAGTAATTTTGGTGGATTTCAGGCACAATAAAGAACTGGTGGGTGAGGTGCATTGTGGGTAATCATGTTTTTAGTTTTGTTTTATTTTTGGGGTGTTTATGCATGTTTATTGTGGGGGATTGTTGTTCTTAGTTATTACTTCACTCAGTGTTGCAAATGTGGTGTTACTTTTTGTATGATGTTGGCACCATAAATGAGGAGGTTGGTCAAAGGAATGACCACGCTGTACCGTTCCACTTTAATGCTGTGGTGGTTCACACCAGATGCATTTGACTTAGCTTTGTGTGTTCAACTCTCACTGACTGTCAGCATCAATGGGTGTGCGTGTCATGTGTAGTTGGCAACCTATCTGGGTTAGTGTAGTATGTAATCAGTTACACCAAAAATGTTGAGTTTTTATCCAATTATCAAGTTTGAGATAAAAAAATTATATTTTGAGTATATTCTGAATAAGTTGAAAAAGCTTAAATCATGAGTGAATTACTCCCTAATTATAAGTTGAGGAATATCAATATTATTAAGATGACTTTGAGATCATTTAAGGCAACTCTAAATGCAATTTTTATTTTGTTAACTTAAAATATTTAAAAATATCCCTTAAATATTTTTGTGTAATCTGTTACAAAATGAGTTTGGAGTTCTGTGAACTTACGGTTTAAAGTGTAATAAATACACTATCATGGACCGGATGCACGAGTGTTCTGGTGGCAGGATACCACAGAAAAGCTCTACGCCCTCTAATGTTGCCTGCGCTGACTTTGGCATGTGAACCTTTCCGACACTCCGTGTGCGTCTCTACGTTGCGAAGCTCACAGAGAAATATGAATCGGGCTTTAGTCTCAAGGGGGTGCCATGTTTCCTACGTGAGCCAGCTCGGGGTCTTGCATCTGCTGAAAACGTCACACTAGATGATTGGCTGGATGTATGACCTACCACGTTGGTAAAAGTTACGTTAGCACGTTGACACAGAAGATTATGATTGATCTGGACAACTGAGCAAATATAAGTCCTTGTGGTTAGACCTGTATTTAAAAACAAACACATTTTTTTAGGATAATATGTTTATAATGCCACAGGAAATCTAAATCATGATGGGGAAAGGAAATGAAAGCAACATCCGCTGATAAACGGAGACCCTGAGCAGCTCTGATTTGAATGAAATGGGATAAAATTTAAAACTACATTGAACAAATGGTACACATTTTGAATGAATGAATGAATGGATGGATTTGTTTCCATAAGGACTAATGAAATATACAGAAGAATTCCACATTAATACAGATCTCCAGAATGTGAAGTTCACAAACAACCGCAAGCTTCAGCTGTAGGCTACTTGGTCCCCTCTCGTCTTTTAGCATCTCTGCTAAGCTAACACGTTATGCTAGCAGTGTCTCAGCACCGTGCAGCTGGAAGGCCGTGGAACGGGCTGACATGTTGAACTTATCAGGATAAGTGTCCCTCTGTGCTGAACACGATGAGTCAGAGTCGAGCACGAGAATAAAGGTCAACGCTAATGTTTGAGTGTTTATTCTGACTTAAATATTTAATGATTTAACCTTTTTTTTCTGGGCAGGTTTAAAAACAAGCCTGGGTGTGAAAATTCTCTCTTCCTCTACGTTCTCATGGTTTTCTCCTCCTGTCGGTGGTTCCTTTAGGTGATACTTTATCTTTTTCATCTACTTTGAGGCGATGATCACACGTGCCGGTGAGGAGGGGAGGCTACTCTGAAGTGATGGATGGGGGTGAATTTGGATTTAAAGCTCTCTCCCAGGGGTGCAGTCAGGCTGCCCAAGGTCCTAAAACGGTTTTCTACAAAAAGCTTTCCCTGAGCTTGTAATCGCCTCACATCACACTGTCGTACATTTTAATGATGTGATCCCACTCGATAAATCACTACAATCTGATCGTATTGATGTCATCAACACATTGTGGATCATTTTCTAGTTGCTCCTGTAGCCGTGCGTAGAAACCTGTGCATGTTGCTGCGGTGCCTTTTGTTTGCAGTGGTGCTCTGCAGCTGCTCGCTGATTGAGGTGAGGTGGTGTAGAAGCAGAATTGATGCAGAGCTCGCCCCTCCCTGACTCAACGCAGCCGATCCTTCTCTTCCCCATTCCGCTGCGATAGCTGCTGGGACCGGTTGCTAGGAGACCACATCCCAGGCACAAAGAGAGCCCAGCTGGTGTGGACCGGTCTGTCAGATACCACATCCTGTAGTGGGTGGGAGAGCTCACCATCAATGCAAGCCTTTGGTGTTAGAATAAATACTAATAATGACGTGTGTGTGTGTGTGTGTGTTACCTGAACACATTCCATCACTGGACATGTTGGACTTCAGCTCGCTTGTGTAGTTTAATAAGCTGATTTAAATGTTTTAAGTGTTGATGAATGCTCATCGTTTGCTCAGCTTCTTTTCTCGGTTGTGAACAAATTGTCTCGTTTTCCCCTCAAATGCAGCGTTTCAGTTCAGTCAGGGAAGGGCGGGGCTGCAGGATTCAGGCCTTTTCTGTTTTTACAGCAATTTAGGATCATTTTATTTTCACTGATGGAGAATAATAATTCCTGGAGTCTTTTAAAAAGTGCCAAATCTGCTCTTTTTGGCTCTAAAGGCCACTCACTTAATTGCTTGAAGCCACTTTGTATTCATTGCTCATTGATGGAGGTGTCTGCAGAGAACCTAATCTCTGCTTTTGTTCTTAAAGAAGAGTTTTATCATTCGTGAAGTGTGATAAAGCTATGTGATCTCTGCAGTGTTGTAGGAAGCTGAATAAACGGGTCCAGATTTTAATGTTTAGTCGTTATTTTTTTAAAGCACATAAGAAAATAACTGGGTGTTTTCCTTTGGTCCTGACCTCTGTTTTTGCTGCAGAAACAGAGTTGAAAACTGGCAGCAAATTCTTGAGTATAAAGGAGACACATTGGGGGCTTTAACGTCTAAAATACATGTGCTAATAAGCAAAAGCCTGCTTCTCCCTGTTATCAGGACTGCTGCAGTCTGCCTGCTCCTCATTGAGCTGCAGAAGAGGTTGTCATGGCAATAAGCTTCGCCGTGATGGATTCAGTTTGTGACAATGGCTGTAATACGCTGAGTGAGCTCTTTAGTCTTACCTGCCCTGCCCCCTTTATCTGTCAAACCCCACAGTCTCCACGTGTGTGTGTGTGTGTCAGCAGACATGTGAGGTGGGGGGAGTCAGCCGAACAGGCGCTTAGAGGGGTGTGGTCGTCATGTTGAAGACATGGACGTCTTTAACGTCCCCGAACGGCTCAGATTTCCTGCATCAACAAGTGAGCATGACCTGAAGGGAGGAAGAGCAGCTTAATAAGATGAAGGGCACATCACTCAGCCACATGGAAGCCCTGTTTCCTCATTAGAGGGTGGTTTGGTGGGTGGGGGGGGTTTACACCAGCTGCTCACAATGACTGTGCAGAAATCAGCCCCATGGTGGCTCATCTGTGCTCCAAATGCATCCGACACACCTAGAGCGATGCTGCTGCTGCTGCTGCTCGGAGGTCATGGACGGGTCAGGCGGTGCAGCATTTTCACTGATGCTCAGATATCGTCTTTGATTCGCCGCTGTTACAATAGTTGAATTTAACACATTTCTGCACGCTTTTGCGCCTGAATCTGAAAGAACGAGAGGAAACGAAACCTTGTTTGTCTTTTGAAGGAATTTTCCACCCGGTTTTGGATTCTGAGTCTGGCCACAGTGTGGGTGTTCTCCATGTGGGATGCAAACTCAGGCTTTACTGGCTCTTTTGTTTTTTACATCATTTGTTTTAGAAGGACCCAGTACTGCTCTGACATACGTTTTATTTTAAAAGCCTTTTTCCATGGAAATTAGCCTCTGACATACAGGAAGAGATGCTACCAGCACACTACCCAGTATGGCATTATCAACCCGTCGTGACTCGTGTGGTTTATCTCAAACCACAACAGACCAAACCAATTCTAACCAGTTGATTAACAATCTGCTGACTGGTTTCAACATTCTGGAGCAGCAGCTCAGTGTGGAGTTACATATTTAGTGCAGTTTCTCCAGAATAACTGAAGCCTCGGGTTCTGCATTGGTGTAGCTGTCACCTTCAGCAGCATGATGGTTCTGAGACTGGTCAGAGAAACTCTGAATAACTGTTCTTGTGTCTGGTGGGTTGCTCTGTTGGCTGCTGCTGGTTTTGTAGCAGTCATGTGGTCCTGACAGCTGGTGGGGCACAGATTAGTGCTGGGCCTGGTGTGAGAGAGGGTGGAGGGCACCCGGAGTTTGGACAGAGCCAGTTCTGCTCCTAAAACCCAGAGTCCCTGGTTTCATAAACACACGTTCGGAGCAACTCATTCCTGTTCAAACTTTTAGACCACCTCATTGTTGAGAGAAGAAAGAGACTTTTGGATGGTTAAACTCACTGTGGTGGTCTGAGACTTATCAGAATCTTAGCTTTGAGAAGAGATTTGTTTAATGAAGATTAAAGTCTGATAAACACTTGATCCTTTTAATCAGCTCAGATCTGTCCTCCTGACCCCTCCCAGTCCATCTCAGTCTCTGGAGGCTCATCTTAATGCTTCTATCTGAACACCAGGTGCCCTTTTTTGCCACAAAACCGTTAACCCTATGACCGTAACGGGGTTTTTATCGTGCTAATGGACTCACGACCCAAACGCGCACCCTGATTTGTTTGTTTAATCTCTGGAGTCAAAGCAACATCCTTGTACCTCAGCAGAACTCTGCCAGGCCAGTATCCAGGGAGTTTGATATTTTCTAGGGTTCTAGTCTGCGTACAGCTGTTGGATGCCTCGCCAGCAAGTCACCACCACACACTTTTAGCTCGTCTAGCAGGATCGAGATTCGGCATGGCAGCTGGTGGGGTGGAGTGTTCTCAAATTATCTGCGGCAGCTCATAGTTTGGATGTGCATCACAAAGGAGAGCGTGATGCATCTCTACAACCCTGGCCCACATCCAAACTCGGCCGCGGACCTCTCCGGGTTCAGCAGGGTGCTTCTGTTCCATTACCGGTGTCGGATCAGGCTTAAGAAACGTCTCAACAGGTATCTCAACATCAGCAGGAAGAACGCAGCAGCTCTCAGACTGAATGGTTTTAACGGGCGTGTTGGGTTTTATAATGGAGACGTGAGGAGGGGGGAGTGGCCCGGAGACATCTGTCCACTAAGTGGGACATATTGTTTCAACAGCTGCTGAGTGAATAGGTCCAAGGGAAGGAAGCAGAGTTGTTTAAACATGAAGGTGCAGCATTACGGTCATTGTTGTCTGTTTGGTTACATGAAGCAGGAGCAGCTAAAGGAAACTGATTCCTACACAAACGACTACCTAAGTACCTTTTTAGAATAAACACGGTTTTGTCATTTTTTTGACTGGATTAAATCCCACTACTTTAATATTTCCTATAATGAAAATGATGGCATGGTAATCAGGTTCCATCAAAATCATTTAGTTTACACTTTGATCATCCAGATGTTCTAATGGTGGAAACGATTCAGTTGGATTTGATTGAAATGGCTCATAAGTCACTAAAGGGGCTTATATTGAATTTGTACAGGATAATTTCTTGTAGTTTATGTGAAGAAATAAAAAAACCCTGAAGAATATCAAAGCCGCATGGATTATCTCGATGCTCACATCGCTTTTGTCTTTTCTGCATGACGATCATAATTATGGTCCATCTGATTGGTCAAATGGATTATAAACATGCATAACAATTCAAATGTCATGGCCATTTATTTAACCAGTCCTTTGTCATTTTTGTGCTGCAGGAATTGATTTTGTAATGACCATATAAGGTATTGTGCAGCACTGGAGTGAAAATGCAAAAGGGTTAAATCCGTGGGTGTCCTCTGTGGGTTTTACGCAACATCTCTACATCCTGGTCCTCGTGGATCTGACTGCATCCCTTATTTTAGTGGGTGTACAGAAGCCTTTAACGTTTTTCGTACTTCCTCCAAAGGTTACCTGCCTTCAGGATTTCTTCGGCGATGATGACGTCTTCATTGCATGTGGACCAGAGAAATTTCGCTACGCGCAGGACGACTTCTCGCTGGATGAGAATGGTGAGCATCTTCTCACGTTTTGGTGTTAATACAAACTACAGTAAGCGCCATGAAACTAGATTGTGCTTTTTTTACAGTTTGCACATTTACTTACAAATCAGAGTGGGGAATAATGACCTTTGCATGATGGAGGCTGCGAGTCGGAGGTACAAAAGTCTGTTATCAGCAGCTGGCAGCAGGAAGGAGTGGAAGATCCATTAATCTGTCCGGTGACAGGTTTAGGCCTGCTGATCTGTTGGTGCTGATACTGCTGGGAAGTCCAATCCTCTCACTGACTCTGTGCTCCCTGCAGACCTGAAAAACCTATTTTTAAAACCCCGACTCCACAAAGACGACTCGTCCAAACGTGCAGCGTTTGAATCCGAACACTGCACTGATGCAGAGTTTACCTGTCCTCCTCTATGCTCTTTTCCATGGAAGGTCTTTGGTCTCTATAATGATCCTTTCTGTTCTCCACATTCTCTGTGGACCAGAGCGAAATTGTTTCATTTAGGCTCTAACCTCGGGCCAGAGCCAGACAGAACGGCTGAGAGTCCCCGAGTGGAGCTGAGGAGGGGCGGTTTGTCTGCACACGGACATTATATTAGGTCAGCTCTCTAACGGTAACGTTCATAAATCTGGATGAGTAATGAACAGATCCCAATGCGTTGGACAATCCGGCTCTCAGTGATGGATGAAAATGCTTATCTGTGGTCTATTTTCCAGGGGTCGACATTCCTATGTGGTTATAACCTGCACTTGCGCAACTTTTCTCTCCTTCTGAGAGAAATTCTAAACATATTTTGGGATTTATTTTCATCCAAACTCACATTTTTGTTTATTTTGTGTTAAAGCTATGGAGGAAGAGTGCACCTGCAGCTGTTATTGACTGAGCAGGAATCTGATCGACTCCAGGCTTTCTGAGCAGATGAGATGTACTGCCGCTGCTCCGTCAAAGAGCTGGTGCTGGCACACTTGGCAAACAATAGCATGTGAATTTACATCTGTAACCAGTAGTGTGTGCAGTAGTGTGTGAAGGTTAAAAGAAAGAAAACTGATTTGGTGCGATCCCAGGAGACGGAGGGAGGACAGATAGTATAATTAGCATCAAAGAGGGGAAGAGTCTGGGAGGGGGGAGGTAAGGGGGAGAGATCCTGACAGTACACACAGAAAGGAGGATGCTGAAGGGAGGAGCAGCGACGTCTGGAGTCTGTCTGATTTATCCAGTGACCCAGAATTGACAATCAAGGAAAAAAACAAATCTAAGAAGAGTTTTATAAAATAATTTAGGCTGAGCTGCAGGGTTAGACATGAACTCGTTCAACTCGCTCCGTTTGGGAGTGTTTGACTGTCTCACTGCTTCTGTCCAGAGTGCAGGCTGATGAAGACTTCTAAAGCCCAGCATGGTTCTTACAAGAGTCCTGGTCCCATCAAGTGCAGCAAGTCCCCAGAGTCCAGTGAGTACCTGTTACCTTGTTGACCTTTGACCTTAAACTGATGCTTTTGTAAACGTGAGGGTCTTACCCTGTACTGTGACATGATGTTAGCAAAACATACAATTTTTTTATTTTTTGCTAACCTCACCCCATGTCGTAGAGCCCCTTGCAATTTGAATGTAGCGCTGCTCAGCATTAGCCGATAGCGTTGGATATCTGTCTACGTACAGATGTCCGTCACAGAGCTTGCACGAGTGGAAGTACCTAGACTGATGTGGAGTCTGCAACATTCATTCATATCTGGGGTTTTAACTGGAAACACGTTAGTGGCGGAGAAATCAAGAGTTTTTGCTGTGCCCCGCTACCGTTTCTCGCTACCCACGGTTCGTTTCGCTGCCATGCGTCATCCGTGTCAGCGGAGAAGGTATGGCCGAGGAGGGGAGGTGGGGACGCTTAGCCTGGTGGGTGGCCAAGCAAAGCCTGGCGGCTCGCCAGACTTATAAATCGCTCGGGGAAACCCTGCTCTTTATGCGCATATTCTTCTTGCAGAAATCACCTGAAGACATGGTACTTGCAGAGTGAGTGAATGAATGAAGCTTGAGCGAGTTGTTGTTTTCCAGTTTCACATGATATACGTCATTTCAGTTGTTCCAGTGATTGGCTAAAGACAAAGTATGGTAGCCAGTTCCAGCCGGGCACTACCTTGCGTATCCTCCAGTCAGCTCAAAACATTCTACCAGATAGCCGTCGCTCCTCAGATTCCAGATCAAAACGTGTAGACTCGACACGAGGCGGGGCTACACAGATCTGCCTGCTGCCAGGTTAGAATAATCGTACAGCATGCTTTATCTCTGTTGGCTGGATAGAGGTGCGTGGTCACGGAAGATAGGTGCTGCTTCCATCCATAATTACAGAAGTAAGGGCAGCTTAAGATGCAATACACTCTCCCACCTCTAGATGGTGCCTTCCAGAAAAAAACTAGATGTCTGCTTTAAAAGGAACCCAGGTTACAAAACCTTGTGGTTCTTAAAAGATAAATGTTAGTATCAGTTATATTAAAGTGGTGTAAAAAACTTTCTTGTCTCCATTTTTATAAAATTTGTAAAAATAGTTTAACTCGTAGGTCATCATTGTTGGCGTCGCAATGCACTCTGGGTAGTGACTTCATATGGTTGTACCTGAGTTGCACCGGCCGGCTTTCGGACCCTGTAGTGACTGTTAAGCGACATCAACATGTCTGTTCAGCCTTTTCAATTTGAACCAGAGTGAAACATTAATGAGGACATCACTGACGATGTTTCACAAAGGGAGCATCAAAATGAAGAGCAAGAAGGGCGGGATGAAGCGAGTGCAGGACAAAACCGGTGGTGTGTGTGCAGCAAATGTGTCACCGTGGTTACTGAGAAGGAGAGATCTCACATTTTTGTCAGCAGAAGTTAACGGTAAACTATCGTGTGATCAAACTTATTTAATTACCAATGATTCTGGACAATATTAGCATCCAGAGCTGTCGTGTGCTTTATAGATGATTGGGATATTCAGTGAAACGACTTTAACCATTTTTGCAGGTATTACATATTTGGAGAACACTGTATTGCTACACTTACTGCTTGTTTTACTGACGGGAGAGGTGAATGTTCAGCTTCATCCGTGACGAGTGGCGTGTCCGATGGTTCGCTGAACGTGACAGAAGCGGCAGCGAAAGGAGCGGGTTGTCGGCTCAGGAGAGCGTCCAGCGTCTCTTGTCTCTCCGAGGGCATTTAGGCTCCTTGTGAAGGAAAATGGTCTGTAAAGCATTTAGTTTCCACCTTCTCTTATACCCAGCTGCTCTGGTGAGCTCTTTAGGTAGTTGCGGTCGACTATAAGCCTCAAACGCATCAGGAGAAAAATGTTGGGAACACAACCACGGATCTTTGGGAAGTTGTGTCCGTCCACAGGCATCTTCCTGCTGCTTTCTCCTCTTCTTGCCAGTGGGAAAGCTGTGTAAACTCACATCACTCCCCTTGTTGCCCTCTGACTGGAAATTACATCCAAAAGCAGCACAATGCGGCATTTTACTTAATTATTAATACGGTGAGCATGTAAACAAACACTAGCATCAATAGCTATTCTTCCAAGAGCAACCAGTATACGTCATCGCCCCCAGAGCGCACTGCGTGTGGCAAACATGGTGTCCTAGGTATGTCCAAAAATGTACTAAATATTATAGATTTATAAACAAACGGCAACATTCTGTGTTTCTAACAACATAGTTTGGTACAACAGAAAACTTGTGGCTTATTACGGCACGCACGTCCTCATAGCTGGAGTTCCTTTTAAGGTTGAGGATGGTTAAATTCCAGACTTTTACTTTTGGTATTAATTTGGGGTCAAGAAGAGTCTAAGGATAATTTTTTTTTTTAAGAAACTAATTTCTGAGTTTTTGTCCAGTACGCCACTCATGAACCTATTGCTTGGATCACTGAACATAAAAATCATCAAACTGAAGTTGATATAGAGTTTTAGGGAGGCTGATTCATCAGCTGACATTTACCACTTTTTGAAAAAAGCTGTGAGTTGCAACCAAAACCCTTCGATCACAAATATTACATTTTCTATACATTAGTTAATTTTTGTTTAGAGACATTGTTTTAATTTAATAACAGAGTGATGATGTGTCTCCTTAAAGTGATGATGTGTATCTTCTCTGGCGATGGGGGCCGGTACATACCTAAATCGTTGCAAGCAAGCTGTATTTTTGTGTTTGAGTAAGACCTTACTAACTGATAGCCATTAGGGTAACAAATCTCTGGGAGTACGACGGCAAAAATGATGAGCACATCGGACTCCCTTTCATCACTGGCAATGAGTGCAGAGGTGAATGGTTCATTACCGGAGTGAGAAAGGGGGAGCGCATCACTCCAGTGGTAACACGACGGCGGTGGTAAAGGATTGCACTGAGGTGGAGGTTCTTGTACTCACATTCCAGTCACCATCAGAGACTGGACCACCTAAATTATCGCTGCTCCTGCAGGATCACTTCGCCCCACTGTCATTCCACAAACTCGGCTCCCTTTCATCACATCACATGTTAGTCTCTCTTGCTCTTTTTCACCTCTAGAAAGAACAAAATGCTTGTTAAATCGGCCTCCTAGCTGAGATCTAAACTTTGTGTTTGTGAATGTTCGTCATGCTCCTGTTTTTATCAGTTTTACAGAGATAGTCTTACACAGTAGTGAGTCCTTCTTCCTAAATAAAGCTCTAGATTCTGAATTCTAAAGACAAAACAGGGACATTCTTTGGTGTTGCAGAGATGGCGTCACGTAGGCTCCTCTACAGCGGTCTCTAAACTGTTTTGACTTGAAAAGGCTACATTTAAAGATTCCAAGCCTATAAAGTGTGACACTTCTCTGTTTTTAGGTGAATTGTACTTTTTAAATGAGCAGTGTTTTTTTTTTTCAGTTTCTTATTTAGCAAAGCCAGGAGGATAACACTGGAGCTTTATCAAACATTTGCTGATTTAAACCTAATGCTGGCCATCTGGTTCATAGTCTGCAGGATTCTTTATCTGTCGTAGACAAAACTCCTTTTAAAGCACTTAAAGCTCACAGCTACATCACCTCACACTGCTCCCAAATATAAACACAGTGTTCCACACAGAGGGAACCCTAGCAACCAGCAGGACACAGAGCGAGTGAATAAAAGAACAAAAACCAGAGGGTTCATCAGCCTCCGGGATTTACGCTGCAGCCAAGTGAGGCTGACTTTTCTAAAGAGCAGCAAAAAGACGTTTAGAAGTCTCTAATCCACTGTGCTCTTCACCCTTTCCCCCTCCTCCTCCTCCTCTCAGCCAACGGGACCGCCTCCAGCAGCCAGATCTCCACTCCGATATCCAAGCATTCCCCCACCTCCAGCCCAACCAGCCCCGGCCCAAACAACAAGCAAAAAGTACCTCCCTCTCTTTTTCATCCTTATAAAGTCCAAACTGAAACATTTATTCTGTTCCTGACCACAAATCCTCAAAACTCTGCTTCCAGGATCTGGACCTGCCCTTATCTCTGGAAGATGAGGATTCTCTCGGCGAATCGATGTAGACGTTCCTTCCTGCAGCCAGCCTTCTCCCAGACGGAAGTTTTTCTAGCTCTGCTGCTCTCCACCTTTACTCACAGTGCCACCTGCTGAGGAGAACCTCTTTGTCTCTTGAAAAGAATAAAATAAAAGCCTTAGCCATCGCGGCTACGACGCCATTTGCTGCTTGAGGATGGCACCATTTTTAAAAGAATTCAGTTTAGATCACAATCAGCCTAATGTTCACTCACCCTTATATGCAGGAGGATAGCCACTTTAGAATAAATAAATAAAAGGGCACACATTTCATCAGAACACCCAATAAAGAGTTCACTTTTTTAAAAAGCCTTTTGATAAAGCATGCACTCGGAGTTTCACTTTCACAAATTCCAAGCAGCAAATGGATTTTTTTAGCAGTTTAACCAACTTTTGTATCACCGAACATGTTCGATGTTTCCTCCACGTCCTGCTGTCCTTTCTGCTCGCTAGTCCGAGGTGTTTAACCTGCTGTAAATACTGTGTATAGCCATCCCCCATAGCCACCCTGCTCAGTGTCCACTGCTGTGCTTCCATAACGTCACTCACATTTACTCCATATGATACAGGGAGAGGTCAGAATAAAGGGAAAATAAGGCAGGAGGTGATGGATGCAGTCTGTTTATCACTTTTTACCACAAAATCATGGTTTGAAAAACTCTGCATAAAAAATAGCTGCCTTTTATTTGAACCAATCATATTTAAGGATGATGGGGCAAAGCATCCCTCCCCTCTTTATGCCTGCACTTTTATTTTTGCCTTCTATGTCTAATGTAGTTAGAAACTCATCTTGAAACTGTAATCTTATTAATAAACCGATTCAAAGGACCTGAAGTGCATGGAAACAGCCAAAGGTGAAACAAATGGGCCCTTCGTAGTAAATAAACACTCAGATGCAGTTTTATAATCATCAGTAACTAACTCCCATTCAGAGCAGTCTGTCACCACGTTTTATCCTTTAAAGTGGTTCGATGTTGAGAAGTCTCAAAGCCAAAGCTGAGGGTGATGGAATGGGAAGAACTGATTTTCTTTTTTATTTTAACGGTTGTGAAATTTTTGGGAGGAAGCCCCCGTGGAGATTAATGCATGTCACGTTTAAAAGTCCAGGTGCGGTGGGTCTGGTAACCGTGGTGGGGTTTCGCCTTCTCTTGCATGGCTCCGCGATCTATCGGGAGGGAGAGGAAAACACGTTTGTCTAAATCTGTGGGTTTTTTAAATTTTTATAAAGTTTATTAATTTATAATAAAGGTACTTGTGTAGGATTTTCATTTTTCACGCTTCTGTGTGCTATTTCGTGTCGCCACGTTTTATTCTAACGGCTAGAGTCGTGGGACCAGTCAAAATCTTGAGTTCTCAGATTTAGTTTTTTATGCAGGAGTTGAGCCTGAAGTCTCTAAACTGGATGAAGCACAAAGCAAGGAGCAACCAGTTACATCACAGCAACAGATGTTACTCGCCAACTTCTCAAAAAACACACCTAACCAGTTTCTCCAAAAGACATGCTGCACATGTAGCATCTTTTAAATTAAGATCTATGCATTTGGATCGAAGAGTGAACAGGTTTTCTGTAGGTGTGGCCTTTTTCAAACCCAGGAGTTTTATTCGTTACATTGTGATGTCAGTCTGAACGTTGTGTGTTGTAGCAGTGATGCTGCATCCATCTGCTTCATCCGCCGCTACGTCACAAACTACTTACTGGTGCTGTAGATGCCTCCTTTCTCCTGCGGGGAGCGCTGTAACACCAGCACAACAGCTGCTCATGTAAGCAGCAGGGATGCCTCACTTTAGTCAGTTTTGTACAAAATAATCAGAATTTTCTGCCATTTTCTCTAATAATCAGTTCTGTGTAACCTTGCATACTAATCATATTTCACTGATTTTTCTACAGTTTTTAACGTTTCTCACCATATGAACCTGAAATGTTGGTCGTCTCGAGTAAACCGGCTGCTGGGGTCCATCACAATCAGCGGTGCCTTTAGTTTTCTTTGAATAAAGCTGAAATCGGAGCGTCAGGCATTTGGTTTTTAGCAGTAAAACATCAGTAATGTCAAACGAGGCCTCCAAACACTTGTTTTGTAGAGATGCAGGATGGTTTATGGATGTGTAAATACGTTCCTTGCCTGCTCTCTGTCATGCGTTTTGCCTTTCTGATCGAATGAATGACTTTTTTCCCCCTCTGAAATTTAAAAACGTCTTTTTTAGTGGTGTTTTGCAATGTTATGGTGACTTGTTTCAGTGCTTCATTCAATGTATTAACTGGTATCTTTTTGCAAATAAAACTGCTTAATTACAGCCCTCTGGCCTGGAGTTTATTCCACTGACACCAGCGTCTCCTCAGCAGGGTAAAGTGCAGGATGAAATCATACAGAAGTCAATCTGTGTGAGTAAAAAGGGTGTCTAGTGTCCAAAGTTGTTAAACATTTGCTGAAAGAATTTGATTTTTAGATATTTTCTATCAAATTTAAAATGATGTAAACGTATAAATTCTAAAAATGTTCACATACAGATCAAATGGTGTAAAATAATTCTACAAATTGTAAAAACAAATTCGACTAGGACATGCATGAATGGCTGTATTATGATTTAGCTTTGTTGCTGACAAAGTAGTTGAACTCTAAAATATCACATTGTTTTCTCCTGTTTTGATCTGAATAAGATTTTAACACAAAGGAATTTCCTTTTAGACTTTTGGAACTATCACTCGTTTTGCTGCAGCATGCGTCGCCCCTGCTGGTGATGTGACCATTTCCATTTAGACCTGCAGGTTGCATTCATGCAGCAGGACACACTTCTCAAACCATGTTAACGTTCTACACATTTAACACAATTACACAGCTGCAGTAAACACCTAACAAACACTAACACTGTTCAATAAACTTGGATCACTTCCTTATTCCAGAGCTACAGGTTTGACTCCATGTTTCTGAGATGATGGATGCAAAAGAATTTCACCAGAGAAAGAAATCGTTTCTCTAAAGGAGTTTTTAATGTGTGGAACACCAAAGCAGGAGTTGGAGCAGATCACTTTAGTGTGTGTGTGTGTGTGTGTGTGTGTACTTGTCTTAACGGTTTAACTTTTACTTTAACCTTTAGTGTGTGTGGACATCTCCACATTGTGGGGACATTTTGCTGGTCCACACAATGCTAAGCACCCTAAAACATTGTCTTAGATGTATGGTGTGAGTTAACTTTTAGTTTAGGTTGGGAATAGAACCTCATTGGTCAAGGTTAGGGTTCCACACAAACGTACGTGTGGTCACTGGATAGGTCTACTGCCCTCTGGTGGAGGATCTACAGATCAGCAAGGGACAAATAAAAGTAAAGCATGCATAAAATGCATTACAATAAAACCAGAGGTATCTATAATGATCATTGTTACTTCAGTATAACCTTAAGTCCATAATGAATGTATATACACAAGGGTTGTAATTACTGCTCTTCTGTAGATGTAGAAAGACCCAGGTCCACATCAGCATCTCCAGTTCTGGCAGCTCTAAAGCACACATTTAGATGTAGTGCCTTCCAAGAAAGTATTTTAACTTTATTAATCAAGATCCATCTTCTCTTTCAAATCCTCCACTTTTTCTTCCACAATATTGATGTTCCCAAAATGTTTTAAATAAAAATTGGGATTTTTTTTAAAGCTCCATTAAAATAAGGAGGTGAAAATATTTTCTTCTAAATGTCAATAACGAACAAAATTCTTTTTCAGGATAGAGCCATTGAAGGACAGCAACTCCCCATCTTCCTTTTATTAACTGCTGTTGGAAATCTAGTGCTGTTCTGTTTATTGCCAGCATTGAGATCAATTTTTTTAAAGGAAAAAAACAGTCTTTGGAAGAAATTAGATGGTCTTTCTACTAAGGAAGTCGTTTACCTTTACTAATACAGGTTCATCTCCTTCAAATCCTCCTCCTTCTCCTTCATAATATAATTCCCAAAATGTTTATTAAAGATTTTTTAAGCTTCATTAAGACAAGGAGGCTAAAATGTACTATTCTAAATGGCTATTGATACGTGGGTGGAGTAAGACTCTGAGGGGGGCATTACCACTTCTTTAAATAGTAAAACACAAGAAAAAAAGAAAAGAATCTGTCAAATAGCGACACTCGAGATAAAAATCACGAGGTGCTTCACAAGAACAAAAAAATTCTAATTATTAAAAAATATTGGTTGAAAAAAAAGATTAAAAAATATGGTTAAAATGAGGAAAAATGTTGTGATTAAAAAATGTAAGGAAAGGGAAAGATGGAAATCAGTGAGTCACAGGAAAGGCAGAGTTGGTAGAAAGCAGAATAAGGAGACGGTGGTGATGAAGGTCATGCAAAAGCCAGCTTGAACAGGTGAGTTTTCAGCTGCCTTTTAACCCTCCCACTGTCTTTATGGGTAACCCCACGAGGAAAGTTGGCCATTGAGCAGGGTTGATGGTTTATGCCTTGAGGTCCACGTGCCAGGGACTTCAAGGTGGTGCTCACTCCCCACCCCTGCCACATGGACCCAAGGGATGAACCATCAATCCTGCTCAATGGCCAACTTTCCTCGCAGGGTCACCCATTAGAACAGTGGGAGGATTAAAGGAGACCCCTGAGTCCACTGGTCTCAGGCTCAGGGGAGAGAGGTCCAGAGTCTTGGGGTCACAGCAGCAAATGATTTGTCAGCAAAACTCAGCAAACGGACGAAGACACTGGTGCCAGATGCCACCTATGACATCACCAGTCCAGCTGACTTAATAAAACACTTAATTATTAAAACAAACATCTGGTGACCTGGTAAAAAAAAAAAAAAAAGCTGGTGCAACATACTTGAGACAAATGTTCAAGTCGAACAGTAGAAAGAATGAAATGATCTTCAGATATCTCTAGTCCGAGACCGAGTGGTCCCATCTTGCTCTCTTCAGTGGGACGTATGGGAAGAACTCTCCAGTCCTCTTCTGGCTGGATCCAAGGCCCGAGGTAAAAGGAATTGGTTCTTCTGCCTCCTGGTCCTCTTCAACACGTCCACTATCCCCCACAACTGAGCTACCATAACCAGAGTCCACAGTAAAGGTGTTTTTCCAGGAGCACTACTCGGAGCAACTTGGACCAGAGCAGCTCGGCCCGACCGCTGTTCCCAAGGGCACGGTTTGGTATTTTCCGTCTTTCTCCCATATTTGTAGTCCTTGCTCCGTTAAGGTACCTGGCAAGGCTGAGTCAGTGATTCTGGCTGCTGATTGGCTAGGGGGCTGGTTGTTCTAGAGTTTTTTTTTTTGCCTTGTTTCACTGCCTGCAACCATTTCCTGGTTCAGAGTCAGACAAAAAGCCAAAAAACTGAGCAAGATGACCAGCAACAGACATTTTTTCAGCTGAGTTGTATTTCTGTGGAGCATACAGGTTACCTAAGGCTTACACTGTTTACCGACACCCTCATCTTATTTTGTCATGAATAAAAATTGCGCCAAGATTTCATTTTTTCTGCTCCACAGGTAACATTTACTGTAATGATTTTTAAACTAGACTACCAGGAAGATGCGGTGTAAAACCACCCTGAAATGTATGTATGTACTGCCCTCTAGTGGCTGGAGTCTACACACTACTACCTGAACTGCCCGAATCCCGTCTAAACTGACCAATCTGAGCTATCGTCAGTCTCCTCCGACTCGTCACCAGTACTCAGACCCTCAAAAGCAAACTCTGCCTCTACTGGAGGAGCCTGACCATAACCGACAAACACCACATCACCATCACCACCAAAAGGAAGGTGAGGGGCTGGGTACCAGTTACCTTCATTGTCATCCTGATGACCTAAGGGACCCATTCAGCCATGGGACACTCCACAATGAAGGCAATGGCTGTGAAGACTAAATAAGACACATTAAACCTACTTTTCTCATAAAACAACAGTTAGGTTGTGTTTATAACTGATGTTTTTCTAAAACGATTTAATGTTTTACAGCTCATAGATACAACAGTTTTCAAATAAAGCTGTGTTTTAAATGTGCTGTGAAAAAATAAACTGAAATGACTGATAAAGGCCAAAACTATTAAATAAACAATTAAAACTGACACTGATGAATTTATAAACATGAGTACTACAGAGAACACATCAGACTTTCTACTTGGATAGAAAGTACTTTGTCTTAAAATAGTCCCAAGTCTAAAATGGCGCCTGTGATTTCTTAAAGTTACTAATTATTTTCACTTGCAGTCAGTCTGATTATTTAGCTCACCAAGCAGAACTGGGATCACTACTGAGTGATTCGTTTTTACTCACAATGCTAGTTGGACCCATTCACTTACTGAGTTTTATGCTAAGCTAAAGCTAAAGGAGTATGACTGGCAGAGGTGTGACCAAGTCACTGCTTTGCAAGTCATAAGTCTTTCCAGTCAAGTCTTGAGTCAAGTCCAAATTAAAGCCAACCAAGTCCAAGTCGAGTCCAAAGTCAATGATGTGGAAGTCCAAGTCAAGTCAAAGTCCTTAACTTTGAATTTCAAGTCATCTGTCCAACTTCAATTTAATAATAAATAAATTCCACAAATAAAGCTTTTTAAAGCTTCATTTATTTGCTCAAACAAGCAGAAAGTTCAACTGAAACTGTTTATAAACAAAGTGCTGCTGCAGTTAGCAGTACAAGATCAAACCCAGAATGAAGAATGATTTATGATTTTTGTCCATGTCGTGCTACTTTAGTGCTAAAATATCAAATATGCTCAAGTCATCAAGTCAACAGATGCAAGTCGATTCAAGTCGTAAGTCATCAGCGTTCAAGTCCGAGTCAAGTCGTAAGTCTTAATAGATTTTATCAAGTCAAGTCAGAAATTTTTAAAATAATGACTCTAGTCTAACTCAAGTCCAAGTCATGTGACTCGAGTCCACAGCTCTGATGACTGGGCTGGTTAAAGGGACTTTACAGAGTTTTGAATTTTTATGCTTGCGATTGCCCCCTCAGGCCAAAAGCGTAACGGCAGCTTCAATAGGAGGCTCGTGCACGAGGCGCAAATGCTGTACGTGCACACTCCTTAACGAAAATAACAGCTGAGTCAGCCCCTTGTGTGTGTGTGTGTGTGTGTGTGTGTGTGTGTGTGTGTGTGTGTGTGTGTGTGTGTGTGTGTGTGTGTGTGGCCCAGAGGACAGGAGAACACGCAGCTAATTAATTAAATAATTTGGTTCTGTACCTTTCTCTTCAGCACAGCCGACAAAGGTTTATGATGGGTCAGTCCTCCTGCATGCTCAGATCATTCCCTTCCCTTGCTTGAAAATTTGTTCCAAAATGAAAGTTGAACCCATATCTTTTTTATCTGTGAATTCAATGTTGTTCGGCGAGTCTCAAATAAAAATTTGGGCATCTTACTGCAAAAAAATATATAATTAATGTAAGAAAGAAACTCTAAATTAACTATGATCACAACGAGAATCGGACCTGGGTCTTTCGCACGAAAGCCTGAACCTTTACTAGGCAAGCTAAGCACCAGTGGGGTTTTCTGTATCTGTAACATTTATATTCTTGATGACAGCTGAAACAGCATTCAAAGAACGGTTCGGAGGGCTATGCCTTAAGCGTGAACGCGCATGAAGCAGCCTGCTCGACCCGAGCAGCTCTCTTTTTCTGTGATTTTACAGAAAAATAGGCAATCACAGTAAAAATGCCAGGGCTCATTCTACAGGACCAGGGCATTGCAGGAGAATGTATGAAGAAGAAATTTATCATTTCTATCCACGTTTTGGCTGTCAAACTTCCATAATGCCCCCTTTAAAAATTGATTTTTCCCACTCATCTAACTCTAGGAAATAAGTCAACAGACATGAGAAATGAGATCCCCCAAGATGACAACATTTATCAGAACATGTTTATTAAAAACAACATTTACATTAAAAGATGACTTTGATCAAATAAGGATGCACAAATATCACCTAAAACCAAATAAAAAGAGTCTGAAGGGGACACGAGCTGGACTTGAGTCCTCACCAGTTCAACACAAGCAACAAGAAGAAACCACATGATTACAGACAAACCTCGCTCACCACTATGGGGAAGATGTCAGCCATCAGTCACAGGAAACATCAGAATCTATTCCCATGAATGTTCTCTTCCTCGAAAACATTCCTGTCAAAACAGACTGTAACCATTCTTTTTTTTTTTTTTTAATTGTTTATTTTTGTGGAACCCCCCCCCCCCCCTCCCCCCACCTTTTCTTTTCCTTTCTCTTTCACCTCTGTCTCCCTGTCTGGTCGGAATTGCAAGCATTCAACAACAATAAAGTTTTAAAGAAAAAAAAGACTGTAACCATTCTGATTATTTCAGTTTTGTTTTAGCTTCTCTTTAAAAATCTTCCAGCGTATCCTTTACTCCTGTCCATTTTCCTGAGTGTTGGTTTGGCATCGACGTTTCTCAGCCTGATGAACAGTTAAGCCCAGAACACTGGATGTCTGCCAGCTTAACTTGTCCCTCAACCCACTCAGGATGTAGCTCATAGTGACATTTAAAATGTAAACAAACTCATCTTTGGTAGCAAAACTGCCCCTAAACTAGAGAGTTGCTATAAATATGGGGTGCCCAATCCTGGTCCTGGAAAGCCAGTATCCAGCGGGTTTAAGTTTTAACCCTTCTTCAACACACCTGAATTCAATCAGCAGGTGATTAACAGGCATCTGCAGAGCCTTCTTCTCCTTCTTCTTCTTCGTGTCTGTTTAAATGGCGGGTGGCAACCAACTTAAGGTGCATTACCGCCACCTACTGTGCAGGAGTGTGAGTCAGAGCGAGGAGAGAGAGAAAAAAAACCCAAATTCTATTAAATACCTTAATTTTCCTAAGAAACTCTAGCACCAGTTTGTAAATGGACTTATTGCCATTCAACAACGTTCTCAAATCCCAAGCACCATATCCTTTAGTTTTCAACCTATCAACAAATTCACCCCTAATTACTGTATACTTACTACAAAAACACAAAACATGTTCTACCGTTTCCTGTTCTTTCCCACAATCACAAAAACCTTTTAGATGTTTACCCAACATATGCAAAGTGCTGTTTAATCCCGAATGTCCTAATCTCAATCTCGTTATTATTGTTTGTTCTCTATTATTTAACTCATTAATCGTCATTTTACCTACTACTTTCTGTATATTAAATAAATGTCTTCCATTTTTATCCCTTACCCACATGTCCTGCCATTCATTCATAATTCTATCCTTAATCATTGACTTCACTTCGTTACTGCTAAAAGGGATCGGTATCACTGCTTCTAACTTTACTGCTTGCTTTGCGTAATAATCTGCTAATTCATTTCCTTCTATCCCTCTGTGCGCCGGTACCCTCATAAATCTTATTTCAATCCCTAAGACACACAACCTAAATAGGCATTCAAATATTTCTAGAAAAATATCAACTCTATTTTCATTTGTTCTTGAATTAAGTGCCAACAAAACTGATAAAGAATCCGTACATATTATACAATTTCTAAATCTATTTTGCTCAATCCAATCCAAACTAAAATAAATTGCCAGCATTTCAACTGTAAAAACTGACATACCATCTGGAGTTCTAATTTTCTCCCCTTTACCTACCACCGGAATATAGAAAGAACAACCCGTCCTTCCACTCACAGAGTCTTTCGATCCATCTGTAAAGATTGGTATATAATTTTTATGAACACTATCTAACCTGTCATTCAAAATACTATCCCAGTTACCTTTGCCCTTATTCATACACATCATATTTTTAAGATAAAAGTCAATATCATACCTAGGAAAAAGCCAATTCGGAGTCACTGAACGTAAATACTTATTTACAAAGGTAGTACCAGTTAAGTTATACCCTTCTGCTAATGTGGTTGCTTTCTCAAGCAAACAATCACCATGTTCAAACCCATGTTCCCCATACAAAGACATTACATTTTTAACCAAATGGCCATCCTTTGAACATCCTTGAATACTAGCCCAATAGTTCAGTAAATTTTTCTTAAACCTCAGTCCTGTTGGCATTTCTCCCATTTCAACTTGCAGAGACACTACAGGCGACATTTTAATCGCCCCACAACAAATTCTCAAGGCCTGATTTTGTATTCTTTCAATCCTCAGCAACAATGTTTTGCATGCAGAGCTATACACAATACTCCCATAATCCAGTACCGATCTAATTCATTGTTGTATATATATGTTTCAAAGCTTCATCTGCAGAGCCTGATGAACTGCTGCACAGGTGATTCAGTCACTGAATCAAGTGTGTTGGAGCAGAGAAACTACAAAACCTGCTGGATACCCCCTTGGAGGATTGGGCACCCCTGCTCTAAATGAAGTGAATTAAACAGGTATGGTGAGATTTTACTAGTAAGTCAGAGATGAGCTTGTCAGACTGGTTTTCTGCAGGTGTGGAGAAGTCCTCAGAGTGGAGCTAAACCCCCTTAAGCTCAGGCAAAGGTGCGTTTGGGTCTTCTAACAAGAAGGTTGGACATCTCTCAAGAGCTTCGGAGGGGTTTCAGGTGAGTTCTGCTTTTAATGATCACCATCAGGTGTGTGTTTCTGTTGATTGCGATCAGCTGAAGAGCAGCTTGACGAGAACTCATCTGAGGTTAATTTAAAGACGATCAACATCTCCACCATGTTGGTGCACACCTTCATGTCTGACACAGCAGATCTAACAGAAAACAAGAGCAAAACAATATTAGGATCTAACATTTTACACACATTTGATGCACTTGCATTCAGCCATAACGGATTAAAACATTTCAAGAACTCTCAAAAACACAATCTCATCAGCTGGTGGCCATCTCACCGTTCAGGTACAATCGCTGGTATGTCATCAGAGTCCAGTCTGCAGGAACAAAGAGAGCCGGGGTGTGGCTCTGAGCCATTCACTCGCAGAAACTAGGCCTGTGTGTGTGTGTGTGTGTGTGTGTGTGTGTGTGTGTGTGTGTGTCAGAGAGTGGGAGGGGCCATAGACAGGTAGAAACAAGACCTTGAAACTTCCTTATTGTAACGCTGTAAAGGGGATTTCCTGCTGCTGTCAAAGGTACTGTTTATTTTGACTCCACTTTGATTTATATGTGTAAATGTTCTTATTTACTTTATTAATAGTTTATTTTTACGTTTCTTTTCTCTGCCAGGACATTGAGGTTGTTTACTTGTTGAACTCAAGCTATAATTAGGCTGTTCATCTTGTGTCTTAAAGGGAAAACTTTCAAATTCTGACTTTAGATTTTTTTAGACAAAACTGGATCAAATGTAGACATTTAAAAGTGATCATTCTTTTATTTTATGCTACTAAATGTTAAAAAGCTCAGCAGGCATGATACTTTTAGTCGTCTTTAGTCATTTAGGAAAATATTTTCATCATAATTAAGATATCTGAATGTTTTGCCTTCTGTCTGTGGAGGCACATGAAGGAATTCTGGATTTAGTGTCACAGTTTGGTCCACTCTGGTATGAAAACTAAGCAGTCGTAGTTTTCACTATAATAATGAAAGTTCTGAATTTGTCTTTTCTCATTTCTGCAGCTTTGAGACTTCAGCGTCCCAGCCATGTTCTCCTCAGTGGTCCCTTACAAGAACCAGCACTATGCTGACCTGAAGCAGAACTGTATCAGGGACAAGATCCTCTTTGAAGATCCAGAGTTTCCTGCCACCAATTCATCTCTGTATTATAGTAAACCCATTCCTGGCAGGGTGGAGTGGAAACGACCAGGGGTAAGTTTAGAAGTCTTTAAAACAAAAATGCACAATTTCCTAGTTTTGAGAGGTAAATTGTGTTGTAGGAGATCTGCGAGTCACCTCACCTGTTTGTGGCGGGCATCAGCTCTCATGACCTGAACCAGGGGGAGGTGGGGAACTGCTGGTTCGTAGCTGCCTGCTCCTGTCTGGCTTTAAAGCCTCACCTCTGGCAGAAGGTCAGCTTATTTTGTCCTTTTAAACCTGAATAAAAATAAGTGGTAAACAGACAATAAAATACAGTAAAAAGACACTAAGTCTAATGTGCTATTCCTGAAATGCCTTGGCATAAAAGTGGGTCATCAGACGAGACTTTAAAGCCATCAACGAAGGTGATGGACACACCACCAAAAGCAACTGGTTCCCAAGTGTAGGAGCCAGCACCAAAAAGGCACGGCCCAACCGTGACCTGACCTGCACTTGGTATCAACAAATACCTCCACTTAAATCTGAACTGGCTCAGCAGCTCTGCTGTATGCTAACAAGCTTCTGGTGTAAGTTTGGCTGGGGCTTGACCACCCGTTCTGGTACAACCGGTTTACTGGTAGTTGATTTTATGCTTGAAAATCGGGCTGTTCTCCAGGGTCATTGTCCTACCCCCCCCCCCACCCCCACACACACACACCCCTCTAACATCTACAGTTTTGCCTACAGATTGGTTTCATTCAGTCTTTCATATTGAAATGTTGAATAAAAATTCCATCTTATCGGGGAAATGGAGTTTCTTACGGTGGAATGAGCGCAGGTGAGGGAACTAAGTTGTATGGAAGCTGTGACAGATGAAGCGATTAAATTCCTGTCACATCACTACAACAGGATCTGTCTGTCACCCTGATGGCCCTTAAATTACTGTGTCACACCTATAATCAGTCATGTCTGAAGTAAAGTACAACCGATACTCGGGTCGGGTCAGACAGCTGATCACTTGTTTTTACTGTTGAAGGTTTTCCTACTGAAACACATTTGGATGCTTTGTTTTTGTGCTTCCAGGTAATTCCAGACTGGAAGGAGCAGGAGTGGGACCCAAACCACCCAGGCAACTACGCCGGGATCTTCCACTTTCAGTTCTGGATCTTCGGTCAGTGGATGGACGTGGTGATCGACGACCGGTTACCTACGGTCAACGGACAACTCGTCTACTGTCACTCAAAGCAGAGACAGGAGTTCTGGAGCGCTCTGCTGGAGAAGGCCTATGCCAAGTTAGTGGAAATCAGTCAAACCGTCCATTTTTAAAGAGAAGTTTGTATTTCTGAAATTCAGAAGAATGTAAGAAGCTGTGGTGTTTTCAGCAGGCATTGATCTTCCCACTTTTATTCCTTGGACTCATTCCTTTTGCTCTGACTGTGTCCAGACTGTCTGGCTGCTACCAGTCCCTGGAGGGGGGAAATACCGGAGATGCTGTGGTGGATTTCAGTGGAGCGGTATCTGAAGCCATTAACCTGGAGGAGGAGGCTTTCTACAACAATCAGCAGAAACAAGATAAGCTGTTTGATGACCTGCTCAAAGTGTTTGACAGAGGAGGAATCATCAGCTGCTCCATCAAGGTCTGTTCTGCTCCTTTTTGCTCCTGTTCCTGTATTTTGAAGAGCCTGGACTCAATGTTCTACATATTTATTTTTTTTTCAAACTTCACAGGCACACCCGGGTGAGAGAGAGCTAAGAATGCAAAACGGGCTGGTGAAAGGCCATGCATACTCGGTAACGGCAGTGAAGCGAGTGCGCTTGGGTCACGGGCTTCTGGCCTACTTTAAAAATGAAACCATCCCCCTGATCCGGATGAGAAACCCTTGGGGCAAGATTGAGTGGAAAGGAGCGTGGAGTGACGGGTCAGGACCACTCCATAAGATTTATTGCACTGTCACCTTAATCTAAATGCCCGTTTTGAGCAAAAATGTAACTGAAACTAAAGGTTAAAATTTTATTAACCAAATTATCATGGTGTTATGGTCTCAGTGTCAGTTATATGTAGTTTGGTTTGAACAAATGAGACAAGTTTTGGCAACTTTTCTAGAATTTATACAACCTTTAAGTTCATTAATCTTATTGCTATGGTTCCTGTTGCCCATATATGGCCCCTTCTACTGATGATAATGATCTAGTTACTAAAGATTCATGATAAACGGCATAACGTAGCAAGTTTATAACAGGATAGCTGTTTTAATTCCCCTAAAATAAAAACTCAGTTTGTTGGCTTCCATTAGTGAAACTTCTGCCCATGATTTATTTTCTCTGATTAAACCGAAGCTGTATAAATGAATGATTTATCCAAATATGAGTCACACACTTCATAAAACCTCTTTATTTTGTTTTTTAGCTCTGAGGAATGGTCAAAGGTCGGTGACGCAGAGAGGGGCAACCTGGGCATCACTGTGGAGGATGATGGAGAGTTCTAGTGAGTCAAACGGATCTCTGATGTTTACCTGTTTCGTCTGTCTGATGGTTCACTCAGCTGTTTGTTTACATCAACAGGATGTCCTTCACAGACTGGTGTAAGTTCTACACGGATGCAGATGTCTGCCGTCTCATGAACACTTCCAAGATCAGCATCCACAAGACGTGGAACGAGGTGGTGAACTTTGGGAGCTGGACCAAAAACTCTGACCCACTACTGAACCGCTGTGGAGGCTGCGCCAACCACAAGCAGACGTTCCTGCAGAACCCACAGGTATTAGAAACTCCAGATGCATCTTCTCCTTAGTCATATACACATCTAGACTATTCTTGTTTGTTTCTTCACAGTACCTGTTTGATCTCACAAAAGAGGCTGATGAGGTGCTGATCTCCCTGCAGCAGAGAGACATGAAGATCCACAGAAAATATGGTCAAGGAGAAAATCTAAGCATTGGCTTCAGTGTGTACAGGGTAACGTTCATCAGCCTTTTCTTTATTATTCTTTACAAACCTTAAGATTTCACCAGAAGTTAAATTCTTTGTTTATGGACCAAAGGATTCAGCTGATGCAGAACGGAACAAGGAAAACCAGGATGGATTGGTGTGGTGAAACTTGACTCAGCTTGACTGGAGTTAATACAACAAACCAGACTTGAATTGGCTAGGCAATGATGACTTGGCTTGAATGACTTGACTGGACTAAACATGGCTGTAAGGTTGCATGTGGCTGCTTGAGGTTGTGTGAGGCTACTTGAGGTTGTCAGGCTGCATGTGTAAGGAGGTGTGAGGCTGCATGAGACTGAGAAGCTGTGTGAGGCTTGTGGATGATCTGGCACCAAAGCGGTGACTGTAGGAAGCCTAAATCATTGGAAACATTGGCGGAACACTCAAATAGTCTCAGGTGAGCATGATTAGGTGATTAGATGAGTTCTGAGACATGAAAACAGTCTAGGAACTTGAATCGTGACACGCAAAGCTTTAACAGCAATGTGGACACAAGTACTTTTAGGATATTTGGAACGTTCAGACACTTTCAGTTCTTGTCTGCTGTTTGACTGTTTATATCTCAGGAAAACGTTTTATATCAGATGGAGGTTAAAACAGCCTTAAACGCACATTCACCCTCTCTGAAATCTCATACTGGGTACAAACAATAATATAATCCTTCCAATGTGCAAATGTCTGAAAGAGAAATGGACAAAACAAACTTCAAGCTGTCTGTTTCATTAAAATGAGGCTTTGGGGCTAAACTGGCAGCACATTTCCTGCAAAGTGTGAGGAGATCAAACCCACAGTGACGTCCTATCGCTAAGTGCTGTTGAAGTGTGGAGGGAGACACGAAGAGCTGTGATTAAACGCTGAAACTGAAGCGGTGACTTCGGTTTAACCCTCAACCTCTCTAAAGTTTCCTCCTTCATCTGACAAACTGCAGGCTGTGCACGGATGTTTCTCCACTGCAAACCTGCTTTAGTTTTGTGGTTAACGTAAAAGGATGGTGTGAAGCCATGGAGCGGCTGGTGGTTTAAAACACGCCTGAAGGATGTTTACAGCTGAGTGTGACCTTAAGGCTGGAACTGTGATTATTATTGTGGCATCGTACAACCATGATACCTCCTCATAAGTAACAGATTTTTAGATATTTATAGGAACAATATTCACCCACATCGAATAAAATTTAATGAAATCTTTTTTTTTCTGCCACCATGAGGCAGAAAATATGAATCTGTAACATTTTTTCCTCTTCCTGCTGCAACTGGCAACAAGCTGAAACAATTGCTAATTCTTACTAATTAATAGTAGAAGAGTAAACCCAGCGTTTGTTTTTAGGTGGAGCTGAACAGGAAGTATCGTCTGCATGACCTCCTGACCCAGCCGTGTGTGGAGAACTGCACCTACATTAACGCTCGCACAGTGTTCAGGAGGAAAGTGCTGACGCAGGGCAGATACATCATCATCCCCACAACCTTCCAGCCTCAGGTCTTGGGGGATTATATGCTACGGGTCTTCACTGATGTCGACTCTGGCTGCAGGTGAGATGGTCAAGAGTTGGGTCGGCAAACCACTCTGACATCCTCTCTGGTTTTTACCTTTTCTGGTTTCAGGATGAAAGTCAGACCGACGGGGACTTTAATTTGTCCTGTTCCATTTTCACAGGGAGTTGACTGCAGACAAGCCACAGATCAAATGCTGGAGTTCGATCATTGGCTACCCACAAGCTGTCACTCATGTCTACGTCCACGGAGCTGAGGGACTCCAGAACCAGGACAGAACAGGAGGTCAGAGAGCTGAACTCGGCACCAAACATCAGCAGTTTACAGAAACCAACTGAGCCTTCACGTGTTCCCATGCAGGTGCTGACCCGTACGTCGTCATATACTGTGAGGGCAAATCGGTGAAGTCCACCATCAAGGCAGATACTTTGAATCCAGAGTTTGCAACCAGTGGTGTCTTCTACAGGAAAAAACCCAGGAAGCCTATTACAGTGCAGGTATGATTAAAAAAAATGTCTGTGAAAAGGGACTGAAGCTGTCAAAAACCAGAAAGGCTGTAAGGACTCCTTGTTTTAGGCTGGAAGATGCTTGAGTTAAAGATTGGGTTTGTAGATTTTTTTGATTTTAGATAAACTTCCCTGGCCTCTTTTAAATGAGCCTAGAGCGTAAAGGGTCATGCGTTCCAGTAACTTGTGCTGGTCCACGGCAGCCTCTGTTGGTGCAACCTAGCTGTGGCGACAATGTAGCTCATCACCACCAGCGTATAAGTGTCTGTTCGGGTGAACTGGTTTTGTAAAGCACCTGTGGGGGTGGGGGGGTGGGGGGAAGGCGCTACATACAAACCTTTTTACCATGTTGCACGTTGAACTAAGTGATTGGCCTAGCGTTAAACCTCGCACTAACTCGGACTATTGTTTTAAGCGGTTGTAGCCTTAGCAGGAGTGTGCTAGCATTGTAAGTGTTTGATATTCCTGTCTGTTTTAGATGTTTCCCTGCGTGAACACTGCAGATTTGATTAGAAGCTTCTGCAGAACCCGATGAAGGCCGAGAAAATTCAGCTGTTAGAATAATGTGTGCATGAGCAGGAACATGTGAGAAACAGCGCTTTCTAACACTGCGTGCATGGCATGAGAAGTGGTTTTTCAGCTTTTCGCAGGAGAGGCTATAATGATTCAAAATGCTCTCCTCCCCTTTAGCCCCAGCTTTAAAGGCTTTTAATGAATAAGAGTTAGAAACTGCAAACTAGGCATAAAAGCCCAGAATGCTAAAAGTGCCTGTATTTATACTGTGCCTTTTAGGGTTCTACGACCCCCCCCCCCCCCCCCCCCCCCCCCCAGTGTTACAACTAGCCAGTCATTCACACGTTGGTGATGATGACCTACATTGTAGCTACAGCTGTCCTGTGACGCACTGACAGAACCAAGGCAGCCCTACACTGGCGCCACTGGTGCTTCTATCCACCACCAGCAGACACACAGTGGCGTTCCCAAGGGGTGGCCAGGGAAAATTGCTGGCCACCCCACTGGCCACTCAGCAAAGAACAGTGTTCTTAAGTCATATTGATGTTTACGCAAACCATACATTTATTATTTTTCTTTAATGAAAATTAATGAAGGAGCATTTATTGCAGGCTAAACTTTCCCAGAGTTGCCACGAGGATCCGTCTGGTGTGCCACCAACATTTTCTCTGGCCCCATGGCCCTTTGAAACTTTTCTGGGGGCGCCACTGAGGACACAACTAGGGGTGTAATGGTTCACAGGAGGAGGGCGGGGTTGCACCATTTTGGTTTGTTCCAGTTGCATACCGTTTCGGTTAATTTTCTGTTAACCAATGAATTTTTATTTGCGTGATTTAACAGCAGCTGATAAAAGTTCCTAGGTGAGTTTCTGTATGGATGCTGTATTGAGTGACGCATGATGGCTGCATGCGCCCAATCTGTTTAAAAAAAAATGTGATCTGCAAATTCTGATACACGCCTTTTTAGAGCGGATCAAACCAGCTAGCTGTAGCTGCTACCGTGGCGCCTGTAGAGACTCTGAATGGAGCTTCGCTCCTCCCTCCCTTCTCACACTGCATGCAGCGGAAAAATGTAAACAAACATGTCTGCTGAATTTTCTCTCTGGGACAATCGATGTAAAGTTTTCATCCTACAACGAAAAATACGGCGCAGAGGAAGCTCGTTATTTAATGCAAGTTTAAAGAAGCTCTGGGCGGTGTGAGGCGAGTTTTTAAGGCTCGCTGCAGAAATAAAAACACGGCGCATCAACAGTCAAACACAACACTGGCGTGTATGAACGTGACACTCATAGCTGTGCGAATAACTTGTGAAACAACTAGACATCATGCTAGATCAGCAGCCTGTGATGACACCTGGTTCTGCTCACTATAGGAGCCGCTTCTGATACAGGGGCGTGTCCACGGAGTGGCCTGGGGTAGCACATGCCACCCTTGGAATCTGATTGGCCACCCCAGGTGCCACCACACTAATTTACCTTTTAAACAGGCTTTTCATTGTCTACAAAAGGCTTGAGGATAAAACAAAAAAGCATAACCATTGGTGCCACCCATGCACAAAGTTGTGCCTCACCTGGGCCACCCCGTTTTATAGATCTAGACACGCCACTGTTCTGATATTATTAAATAAGTAAATATAATATACTGAAAATGAATCGAACCGAACACTTTAAAACTCTGAACCGGACCCAATACGATTTTAGCATACTGTTACCCCCAGACACGACTGTGACAGTCGGGACTGGACCCTGCAACCCTCCAGATTCAGGGCGGGTACTTGTTTAGAAATCCCCTCACTGGAAACGAGATATTTCCACAAATCCACAGTATGGTTTCTCTCCGACTGCGTTTTAGGTGTGGAACAGCAACACAGTGAAGGATGAATTCATGGGCCAGGTGGTGCTGCCTGGATTGCCAACAGACAACTCCAGCCTTCAGAAGCTTCAGATGATGAAAAACAACCAGGAGAAGACCGAAGGCGTCATCAGCCTGAGGATCGTCACGTCGACTCAACTGACAGGGATTTGATCCCATCAGACTGAACTTGTTACTTGTGGCATTGTGAAAACCTCGTTTTAAAGTTTTTTTTTTTTTTTTTTTGAGCTATAAGGTTTTTTGGGTGGGTTCTTTTTTATTAACTTCTAGTTGTCAATGTGCATCTAAAACTTTTTTACCAATGTTTTTATAAATGTATTCTGTGAGACACAAATCTTGAACATTTAAAAAAATAAAACATTAAAACATTCTTCCAGTTTGTGATGATGGAAAAACCTCTGCAGGTGTTGGGAGTCAAACAGAATTTCTTCTCGTTTTCCTTTTATTTCAGTCCAGTTCCCAAACTGCAATATTTAGTACATTATTTTTTTTTACACTCAAGACACAGCCATGCACGACTCAAAGTTCAAAAAGTCTATTGCTTCAACCACAGTTAAAAATAGTTTATCCAAAACTTCGTTTTCCCCCCACCCCGAGACGCGTTTGTCCTTTTCCAAAGGCGGGGGAGAGACCTGCTGAGGTATGCCAGATGGATCAGCAGTTTTACAAAGCTAGACAATAAGAGTAATAAAGATAATAATTTAAAAAGCAAATTTTTTTTGTCTTTGTTCCATTCTCTTGATACACATTAATAGAGGAATTTCCACACCACGTGTACAGGTTTACACATTCAGAAGAAAGGAATGTACAGGAGCAACCACAGAAATAAACAGGACGGGGGGTGCACGTCCACGGTGTCTCTCATCCTGAGAATCACCTTTGTGCTCATAGTTCAGTCCTGTAAAAGGTCAGAGGCCAAATGTCCCAGGGCCAGCGAAGCTTCTCCACAGGCCGTGCACACACGCACACACACACATTCAGGACAACAGACTAGACTGAACTGTGTGGGCCTGCACACAGAGAGCTGCATCCAGCTGCTCTCAGGTCAGTTCAGATGAAGGAGCATCTCGTCAAATCCAAACAGGAGAGGCTGAATCCAGGAGGGCAGGGTCTGTTTTTCTCACCCCCTTTCCCAATTTCCAAGGTGCAAAACCTTTATAGATACAGCAACCTGAATATTGTCATTTAAGTTACATATTTGTGAAAAAAGAAGGGTTTCCTGTCCTATTTACATACATACACATCCTAACTGCTGCAACCTGTTGGAAAGATTAGTGTATATTTAGTTTTACATGCATGAAATCTGTTGCTCCTCCTGCTTGTTCAACCACTCCTTCACTGTCTATCCGTACAGAAGTTCAGTGAGACAAAGCACCTCAGACATAAAGGTGGAAAACATGAGGTAACTCCCCCCGAACACACACACACACACACAGGGAAGCTGTGTAAAGAAACACAAGATCGCATCTGTGGCTGCGCAGGAATGAGTTCAAACCAGGTTTGACAGGAATGTAAACCTCCAGGGCACAATCGGGACATTTTCTCCTCTAAAATCCTTACGTCAGCGTTATAAGACACAAACAAAATTAGAATGAGCAGCATCTTAAATAGGAAGGAGGGAAGGTGGATCAGCAGATCTAATCCAAACACTTTGAAGGAAAGGCAGCTTATATTTTATTTAAATTATTATGGGTGGGTTGAGCCCCACCACAGGATTTCCTGTCACATTATTTAACAGAACCCATAAACTTCCTTCAACTTTAACCTCAAAACTCAATGTTCAAAACACTGAATATTTGAGAATCTTACTTGAAATAATGGAAACAGCAGCAAAACACCATGATGTGCACTGACTTAGAAAAACATGGCTCAAATGAAACATAATAAATATTGGATATTGGAGGGCGTTTAAAGCTGGCATGGATCGAGTGAGTTCATTCCTGATTTTCCCCGGTAGCTGCACCTCTACACTCACACACATTGAACATGACAAAATGCAGCGTGTTGAGATCTGTGGAGGATCAGCGAGGTTATTCCGCCGAACCGTGGTCATGCGCGCTGACGTCGGGTTTCGGAGTTGCTCCTCCACGTCCGCTGGTTTCCGTGGTTGCAGGTGTGGCCGAATCATGCTCCACAAGGGGAGAAGAAGAAAGTAGCTGGAGTCTGCAGCCGGATGGGGACAGAAATCTCTGTTTCTCTGCAGAATAAAAGCACCTTTCCTCTTCAGTTTCTTTTCTTTTTTTCCAGTTTAGGAAGCAACTGAATCCTAAACAAGACATGGCGCAAATGAATGTGCACAGTTTGTTTACACACACACACACACACGCACGCACGCATACTTGTGATAGACTGCTCTACATGTGCAGTGCTGGAGAAGTAAACAAGGAGGCAAGGTCTTTTTCAGCAGCGTGGCCCAGAGGCTGCAAGGCCATCCTACATGTGAGGCCTGGAGAGGGGTGGGGGGGTGGGGGGGGTGCTTGTCCTTGTGCTGTCACTGTAAGTCACATGAACCCCCACCTTCTGCTGTCACAACACCCACAAACCCCTGACGGCCTGAGGCAGCTCATCACAGGCAGGGCTCCGGCCTCGGGCGCGGACAGCGAGCCCTTCCTCAACGGCTGCTGTTCTTTATGGCTTCCTTCGCAGCTACAATCAGAGGCGTCAGGCTGGAGAGAGGCTTCGCCAGCTTCAGGAAGGAATGCTGGAATGGCAGAAAAGACATTTTTTATCTCTGAAGTTCCACGAATGTTTTAATTAGACTAAATAACTAAGATACACCTTACCAAGTTGACCTGCTGCTGAAAGAGTTAAATCCAGTCAAGGTCAGCATATCTCTAAAAAAGCTAACATTTAATATAGGGTTGTGTTTAAATTACAGATGTCCCAACCAGCATTTTAGACTTCTGATCTCAATCCGATCTTTTAACTTCAAATCCGATCCGGCTTCGAGTCCCGATCCCAAAGTTTGCTTTTACTATTGAAATTCATAAAGCTGAAATACATTGTTGTAAATCCCATGAAATCAACTTCCTGTTTTTAGACCGGATGTAGTTTTATACTTCCGGTAGTTTTATTTTGTGGTGAATTGCGACTGTGAAGATGGACTCCAAAGTACGAAAAAGAACAGATCGATAGACGTGGATGAACAAGCTCATAGCAGACAGAGGTTTCCCTAGAAGGATTTAAACTCGCGTGAGCCGACAGGAGAGTGGAGCAGTTTGGCAAGTGTTGCAGACATCTTGAGAAAATCAAATTGCCGCTTGATTCATCATCCATTTGGTTGCCTTCTTTTGTAAAAACCCGACCATAAACAGGGCGAGACTATCCCACAGGAGAAGGAGCCCTCCACGGGAGTTTTACCCCTGGAAGTAGTATATGCCAACGTGCTCATGGTCTATTTTGGGAGGTCTGCAAGACTCGCCAGTTCTAATTGTCGATCTCTGATTGCTGAAAAATATGAAAAAAATCAACCCAATTCAATCTCAGGATCGGGACATTCCTAGTTTAAACTGCTAAATTATTTGATTTAAAGTAAGTCTAAAATTCTTAGGAGGTGTTTTAATTAATTAATAGCCTGCCCCTCAAATAAATAGGGAGAAGGTGCATGACCATAGCTTACTGTATCAACACAACATAGAAACATCATTCAAACTTTAAAAGGGTCGTGGGAGATTGGATATCTCTATATTGAAGCTAATTTCTGATATATATTACTATGGCAACGCAAGTTACAAACAAACATGCCACACAAACATCATTGGAATGAATGTGAAAAGCCTAGAATTGAGCCAATAATCTAATTTTCTTTTTAAAGAGCAAGTCACCCCCTACCAGAGTCTAACTTCACTCCCACTTCATGTTTGAAAAATGCAACACATGCTGTTGCCTGGCAGACCGAGAGGGCAGAGCTGCTAACAAATACACACACACAGGCTCACGACAGCACTGTGACATCATAATGTACCAGTTTACATCATAGCATACCTCTTAGCCAATAGCGGTGGCAGATTTAAATTCAAATACAGTGTAGAGTTTTTACCTGACGACAGCGCAACACTGCCAGTTTTAGGCAGAATATTTAAATTTTAACTAAGATGCACTGAAGTGCCAAATTATTGACTACACGTGTCTGCAGCACGATTAGACACTCGTTTATTTAGTTTATCAGCAAAAAAAAAGTTTATTTGTGGTGACTTGCTCTTTAAGCATCAACACATTTTATTCTAGAAACATCATTCACATTAAAAATAGGTCACAAGCTAATGGACTCCAACATGTTGAAGTAGCTTTTTTGTATCTATTATAGTTTTGGTATAAACGCAGATAAAGTTTCAGATATGTTTTTGGGGTTCTCCTGTAAAAGCTTAATACAATTACAATTAATACACAGGGAGGAACAAAAGATTTGGAATCCCAAATCTTTTCTTTCAGTACCTTTTGAGTCCTTCAGTAAAAGTTGAGTAAAATTTAAATTAGGGAACTTTCCCTGAGATACACAGGGAATAAATGTATGGCATGATGACAACTTGAAACGACTGTAGTCTTTGAAAGGCTAAAACATGAGATTATATTCTGATGGGGAGGTTAGAGTTAGGAGATTCACTTGTGCCAGGGTTACCTGGAGCAGCTCTTTTGCAGAGCCTCTGCGGTCCACGTCCATCTCAAGACAGCGGTTGAGGAAGTCCCTGAAGACGGATGAAAGTCTTTCAGGGTTCTGCAGCTCTGGAGTTCCATTGGTTGCTATTAGGTAAAGCGCCTGTAGAAACAAGTGTAGTCACACATCAGGGAACTTAGAAGTGTTAGTGTTTCTAAATCGCAACAATAATCTTAGCTTAAAGATCTGAAAGGAGCACCAAATAAAAAATGATTTTGGCTTCTGACTTTAATTTGATGTGATATTCTGTAATTTGGGTGTTTAAGGACCCAAAGACTTTACAACTTTGCACAGAGAAATAAAATATGTCATTTTAAGGCACTTCTGTCAAAACCAGATAAGATGTGGGCCAAAGTTGCCAAGCTGAAAGTTCTAAAGGTTCACATACAAATAAAAAAATAACTAAAACATGAAAAAATCTTTTATTTAACTGAAAATAAAGCATCTTGTGAAACAATCATGTGCTGCAGGTGTATTTACCCTGAGTGGATTCTCGTTCAGATAAGGTGGCTCTCCCTCCACCATCTCTATCGCCATGATTCCCAGAGACCAAATATCCACTTTGGGGCCGTAAGCCTTCCGAGTCACCACCTCTGGTGCCATCCAGTATGGCGTTCCCACCATGGTGCTGCGCTTGTTCTGCTCTGGGGTGATCTGGGCACAGAAGCCAAAGTCCGCTGCAGAAGAAAACATTTGTGATTACAGTGTCACTCACAAAACAAACACATTCATTCTTTCATCTATGGTGGATGAATTAAAGTAAAATATAAAAACATAAAACTCACTGAGCTTGACAGATCCATCCATTCCCAGGAGGATGTTGTCACTTTTTATATCTCTATGGATAACTTGGTTGGAGTGTAGGAAGTCCAAGGCTTGAAGACACTATAAAGACAGACAGGAAAACAAAGTGACAGCATCTACTTTTATAAATAGATTTTATATTTCTCAGCAGGAGGTTGTGTTCTGTGAGCTTTTGTACCAAACTGAATGTTGAGGCCATCCCATAATGGGCCTTGGATGCAGTGGGAGTTTTTGCTGATGTCTAAACTTGGCTTCTTACCTCTCTGCAGACCGCAGCGATCTGGCCCTCGTCCATGCACGTCTCAGTCACTACATCTGTCAACGAGCCTCCAGCCAAATACTCCATCACCACCCACAGCTCGTCTCCCACCAAGTAGCTGAGAAAAGGATGAAAGAGTACAAATAAAGAGATGAAAAGTAGCCCGTGGTGTTGCCGTGACCCCCGGTGAATGAGGAGTGAATGTTTGTGGCGGTATCAGGCTGAAACCGGAGCTGAGACAACATACTTGAATGCTGATTATTTCTTTATGTGAGCACTAGGGGGCAGAAGTGTTCATCACTCCGATATCAAACAACTGTTTGATAGGGGAAAGGCAGAAAAAGAAAGCAGCAGCCGAACAGGAAGTGAAAAGGTGGTTCAGAGGATTCTTCAATGTCATTATGATAAGAATGTTCCTCTGCTATAATTAGTACACAGCTCGACAGAAATATTGCTGTGCATTTACTCTACACCTGAGGAAAATCTTCCTTTATCATATTTATAGATGAACTTAGCACCACTGTTTGTGTAGACCTCTGATAACCGACTTGTATGTCATCAAGCTGCTGAATATATTTCGTTTTGGAGACTTTATTGGATAAAACACATCTTAAAGCAGCAAGAGTTTTCCCCTTTAGGGAATTATAAATGATTATTATTATATAGGACTTTTGAGAAACCCATAAACGTGATATAAAGTAGGCAATATGTCTTTTTTCTTTTGCTAAGCCTGTTCCCATTCCGCAGAGCCCCATGAAATTTGAACTGAGGGCCACTCAGCATTCGCCAATAGCATTAGACACTCACTTATGTACAGATGTCAATCACAGAGCATGTGAAAGTGACAGAGTGCCTAGACTGCACCTAAAGTTGGCGACATTTCTTGCAGACAAGTTTATATGTGTGCTTATATGTATATGTTGGGGGTGGGAATTTACCGCATTACTTACAATCAATTAGAAAAAAATGACACATTAACAAATATTACAGCTTGAGCCAGAGCGAAAACATTTAGCATCAAAACATGTGCCCTATGTATAGTAAATATCATCAAGCTGCACCTCTGAAAGAACTGCAGAGCCTGGGCTGCAAGACCATATAAGCCTTTTGTATGTGCTCCAAACACAAATATAACTACAGTTCAATTATTCATAACAAATCGTTCTTCATGAAGAAAAGAAAGAAAAGAAAATACAACTTTTTACTGTTATGTGTTGTAGTTGGTAGACAGCAGGCAGACAGTACCTTTATCCAAGTGAACGTGATTACAGCAAGATTGACAAGCATAATCGCAGCGTTCATCTTGTAACCCTCAGCAGAACTTCCCCTGAACTCTACACTACACCGTATCTATCTATCTATCTATCTATCTATCTATCTATCTATCTATCTATCTATCTATCTATCTATCTATCTATCTATCTATCTATCTATCTATCTATCTATCTATCTATCTATCTATCTATCTATCTATCTATCTATCTATCTATCTATCTATCTATCTATCTATCTATCTATCTATCTATCTATCTATCTATCTATCTATCTATCACTCAGTTGGCTGACTAGAGGTGTGTGTTCATGAACGAGAGGCGTTGCTTCAGCATAATCACAGAAGTGTGGAGAGGGGCTAAAGGTGTAAAACATTTTTCTGCCTTCAGATGGTGCCCTTGAAGAAAAATCTCCAGATTTCTGCTTTAAATGCAAATCTGATGGGAATTTCAGGATCTTGGCATTCCATAATATAGACATTTTTAAGGTTTTCTGTTATTTCTGTATGTGTTCAAAAAAACTCACCTGTCCAGGTAGTTGACTATGTTAGAGTTCTTGTTTTCCCTCATCACTAAGATCTCATTGATGATCAGCTCTTTCTTGGGCTGCTGCTGCAGGTTCATCTGTTTGATGGCCACCTGAAAGACAAACATAAAAAAATTACGTAGCAATTTGACAAACGTGAGGGTTTAAAATCAGAAGTAATGTCTGAATTTACCTCCTGACCAGTGGCTATGTCAATAGCAGTGTAGACGGTGCCAGATGCTCTGATGGGACGAAAACAACAAAATCAGTGAGGATCAATGTTAATAAATAAAGGAGCACCGATACACAAAAACAAGGCTTTTGCCAGATTTAGCCTAAAATCTACAAAAGACTAGAGATGTCCCAATGCAACTTATTTCACTTCTGATACGATACCGATATCAATCCAACATGATATCAGTGCAAATCACTTTACCTATTTCATAGTGTGGGATGTATAAAAGGCTTGATCAAGTAATATTACTCAAACAGAAAAGTAAAGCTAGCAACAGTAAGTATAAAAAGCTGACCAATTTTTTATTAACCTTTGATCGCATAAATGTGAACAACTGAGGTTAGGGACAAGTAAAAAAAAAACCACAATATTGTTCACTGACCAACTGCTACAAGTCAAGTGTCTAAAGTTTCAATTTCACACACAATCCTCATGCAACGTTTTGTGATCCTGCTTCGAATGCACGACGAGGTTGGACGTATTCATCTTCCCCGGTTCTGTTCCACCACGGGAAACTTGTGCATGACAAGTGTTGCACTGAGCCTCTTTTTCTGACTAACGAAAAATACAGTCACATGGCCGACATGGTTCCTTGCTGCTTTGTTAGCACACACTGTTCTGATCACGTGGACTTTGCACGCTGGATCTAGGCGCTGCTGGATAGAATTGCTGGCATGGAATTTAAAGCGGAGTGTACTGCTAATATTGGAGATTTTTGATTCAGTCCAATATAATCCAGTAGTGTTATTGGGTCGATATCCAATATCAATATCGGAACGGGACATCCCTACATTGTTTTTAACTGATAACAGACAATTTAAATACTTAATTATCTAATAAACCAAGAAACCAATGGAGTCCTGTTGCCTTCATTCAAACTCCTTAGCAATATTCAAATCAGTGAATAATATATTAACATCGTACTCTTGCATGTGGACCACACAAAATCCCTCAGAGGACTGAAAAGGGCCCACAGGCTACACTTTGTACCTCCCTTCATTAGATAAAATGGACTAAGGTTACAGCCACACTTAACGTGCATTAGTTCGGCCCACTCGTTACGTTTCTGTTATATGAGAACAACTTGATTCCTTTGATATGAAACATCCAAAACTCAACCTGACTGGAAAACTGTTCCGGTGCTACCTTAATGACCTTCTGACTCACAGTGATGCAGGGGACTGTTCTGTTCTGGTCCTGCTGGACCTGACTGCAGCCTTTGACACTGTTGACCATCACCTGCTACTGGAGAGGCTAAGAGACTGGGTAGGCCTATCAGGAACTGCTCTGGAGTGGTTCTCCTCTTATCCTTCTGAGCGTTCCTTTTCTGTGGCCGTCTCCAAGTTTAGGTCCTCCACCACCTCTCTTACCCATGGTGTCCCACAAGGTTCTGTGCTGGGGCCTCTGCTCTTCCTCCTCTATCTGCTTCCTCTTCAGCACATCCTGAGCTCCTTCAAAGGAATCTCCTACCATCTTTATACAGATGACATCCAACTGTACATCTCCTTTAAGCCCCATGAGATGTCTAAGCTGCAGCTGTTACACACCTGCTTAGACTCTATCAAAACCTGGATGGCTGGGAGCTTTCTTCAGCTGAATGAAGATAAGTCTGAGATCCTCATCTGTGCCCCAGACAAGCTGGTTCCCAAAGTCAGAGACTCTCTTGGTCAGCTTGCTTCTCACACCAAACCTTCCGTCAGGAATCTTGGCGTGACCTTTGACCCAGCTCTCACCCTGGATTCTCATGTCAGTTCTCTTGTTCGCTCTTCCTTCTTCCATCTCAGGAACATTGCTAAGCTGAGTCCCATTCTGTCTCGCTCTGAACTTGAGACAGTTCTCCACACCTTCATTTCCTCACGCTTAGACTACTGTAACTCTCTTTTCACGTGTCTGAGCAGAACCTCCCTGAACCGTCTACAGGTGGTTCAGAATGCCTGTGCTCGGCTTCTGACCAAGTCCTCCAAATACACCCACATCACCCCGCTTCTCCTCCAGCTTCACTGGCTGCCAGTCAACTTCAGGGTTCATTTCAAGATCCTGGTTCTGGTCTATAGGGCCTTACATGGACAAGCACCATCTTACATTGGTGATCTTCTTAGTCCCTACACCCCCAGCAGGTCCTTGAGGTCCAGTGATCAAAGCCTACTGGTTGTGCAGCACCAGGCTAAAGACCAAAGGTGACAGATCATTTGCTGCTGTGGCCCCCAGACTCTGGACCTCTCTCCCCCTGAGCCTGAGATCAGTGGACTCAGTGGACTCCTTTAAAAAGCAGCTGAAAACTCACTTGTTCAAGCTGGTTTTGGTGTGACCTTCATCACCCTCTCCTTGTTTTGCTCTCCCTATCTATTCCACCTTCCTCAGGATCCATTGATTTCCCTCTTTCCTATTCACTCTCTCTCTTTCTTAACATTTTTTAATCACAAATGTCTATTTTTTGCTCATTTTAAATATATTTTAATCATTTTCTAGATTATTTTTTATATTTTACATGTTTTGTTTTTGTGAAGTGCCTCGTGATTTTTATCTTGAGAGGAGCTATAGAAATGATATTTTCTTCTTCTTCTTCTTAACTCTTGTGGTCTGTGTAAGCATTCATCCAGCGTTCATTTACACCTCCATCTACTGCAAACTGAAGCTGCCTCTTCTTCCCCTTTCCCCTCACTTACTGTCACACTCTATAAATAATAAAGCAGAGTTCCTGGTAGCAATAAATACAAAATAACCTCAACAGGGAGTAAACACACAGCTAGCCACTGTTTCAGGCATGTCTTGGTCAGATATGGAAATGTAGAGCATGTGAGGGCAGATTTGAACCATAGCATGTTTATCTGTCCGTGTGTGTCACGCATGAGCAGATAAACTTTAAAGAACAGGGTAGAGGGGGGATGCGATCTGGCTTATGGCCTTTTTTGGATACAGATCTCATTTCCTGCTCGTGGAAGGTCGGACTTACCCTTGTCCTATTTTCTCGAAGCGTGTGTACTTCTTTTTGGGATCCCCCACGCTCACGATACTCCCTGAGTCAGAGGGAACACATAAATAATGATTCTCCTTTGCTCCTCAAGTTGCATTCTGGTCATTTTAGTTAGAGCTACTTTCCAGACAGGAGAGGTCGAGAAAAGTTCAGAAGAGTTGAAAAAAAAGGTACTTTTGTCTAATTATTGTTCCAGTTCCTCTTACACAACTCATGACCACTACAGAAAGCAGAAACCAAACATTTTGGGTATTTTCTGTCAAAATAGATTAAATGATTGAATCTGAACTTATAAACACAAACTCTGACATGTGTAAGGACCTTTTATCAGACTTAAAGAGCAAGTCACCCCCTACAATAAACTTACTTCACTCCCACTTCATGTTTGAAAAATGCAACAAATGCTGTTGCTTGGCAGACCGAGAGGGCGGAGCCGCTAACAAATACACACACACACAGGCTCACAATGGCATTATGACATCATGATATACCAGATGACATCATAGCATACCTCTTAGCCAATAGCGGTGGCAGATTTAGATTCAAATACAGTGCAGAATTTTTCCCTGACGATGGTGCAACACTGACAGTTTTAGGCAGGATATTTGAATTTTAACCAAGATGCACTGAACTGCCAAATTATTGACTACACGTGTCTGTAGCATGATTAGACACTCCTTTATATAGTTTATCAGCAAAAAAAATGTGATTTGGGGGTGACTTGCTCTTTAAACAATATGATTGTTAGAGAAATATAAAAAAAATGGTTTCCTTCATTATATTTAACTATAAAAATAGACTTTATCAATTAAAGATACATACTGAGTCTCTCCAAAATCTCCTCATCTGTCATTTTGGACTTTTTCCTCTGCCGGTCCGTGTGGCGGTACATTGTATTAGAGGTATTCTCTGGTTGGACCTGCGACTCTGGCGGAGTCACCACTTCCTTGACCGGTGACGGAGGCTTTGGAGGCTCCATGACGGAGCGTGTGTAGATCTGCATCGGGGAGGGGGGGAGGGGGTCAGGATGAGTCAAGCCCTTCATTTAAAAGGATCCCAACTTCAGCAACCACTGAACTCACTGATTTGGTGTGCTCCGGTCGAGGGGCGATGACTGGGGGCAGCTCATCGTCATCATCCTCTTCTTCCTCCTCCTCCTCCTCCTCTTCCTCCTCCTCCTCATCCTCCTCCTCGGACACGGGCGGAGCGATTGGGGGATCTGTTGTTGATGTTTTGGCACCCTGGATGGTAGAGAGGTCATTCGTTTTGATGAAAAAAGCTCTCGTGTCACACTGTTTTGTGTTGTTTCCACCCGGTGTGAGCAAACCACAATCCCCAAAGCAGCCACCATTAAGTCTGAACCATGAACCAGATCCAGATGCTCACCAAATAAACCACGTTTTTCAAAAAGAAACATAAAATATGAAGCTTTTCTAGGAAGAATAAAGAAAAGTTGAGGATTAATAATCATGAGGGATCTAATAATAGCAAAGTAAAGCGTTAGAAATGGAGTGAGAGCCAGAGGGACAAGAGTGAGGGGGGATTCAGTCGTTTATCAGAGGAAGAGTCGGGGTATGGGAAGGGGAAAAAGGGATGACAATTTCACATTTAACTGCTTTATAGGAAATATAGTGCATTATGTTGAAACTTGTTTATTAATTCTGATTAATAAGTCACAGGCATGTTTATAATGTCAAATGAGCTACCCTCTTCATCCAAGAACTACACTGGCCTTGGATCTTCTTCCTCATATGGAATGGAAACACTTCCCCCGCGTCATGCATTAGTGAAGCAGTGAAGCTTAGTTCTGGTGTGAAAAAAGGGGGGAAAAAAGAGTCTGTCTGGAGTAAGGTCCCAGAGCCGCGTTCAGACAAACCGGGCCTCTGACTGGTTCTGAGACCAGGCCAAGACTGCAGTGCAGAAAGAGCCTGAGCAGGTTTTCTAAGCAGCATGCATTCATGTCTAAAATGGTGATGAGGTTGGAGGAACTCTGTCAGCAATGTGGGCTCAGACATGCAGGTTAAAAGGATATTTCACCCAATCTGAATTTCTGTGTGAAAAGTTTTAATAATTAAAGGTGCATAAAGTAAGAATGACATCCTGTGGTCAAATTTAGGTACTGCAGTCTGTGTATCAAAGAAAACCATTTGGTTGATAGTTACAGATCAGGGCAAGAAGACTCTAGATCAGCGGTACTCAATAGGTACAGTAGATAACCATGTCACGGTAATGTTGAGTTGTTGGCAATTGAAAAAGCAGCTTTGGATTATTTTAGAGCCAACAGTCTTTTATTTCTAATTCACTGTTAGCATTGTTAGTTTCGCGTTAACCTCTAGCCTTCTTTACCAGGTATCGGAGTAAAACAAAAGGATGTCACGATCCCAGTCCTCCAGACATCCACTTTGCACAAGACATTACCTGAACTCCACTTCCCAGCATTTCCCGCACCAGTTTCCATCTCTCCACGTCATCACGCTCACCCTATTTCAGGAAGTCCCTCACAACAATCGGAGCTCAGTCGTCGCTCTATATCTGTGGCTTTAGCATTCGCGTTTTGGGTTGGGTAATGGCGTCTAACACGGTAGCGTATTTTAAGTTAGTTTAGCTTTTATTTTTCCAGCGCGTCGGCTCACATGGTCACGTTGCACGCCTGGAGCTCCCATGCTCGCCTCGCTCAGTGGCTTCCTGACTGCTGCTACTCATTATCCACGCCTGGTGGTCACAGCTCACTCCTTTCCTGTCCGTCTCTCAGTTCCATGCCGAACAACTCAGGACTCCTGCGCCCACCTCATCCAGCTGCAACTTAGACAAGCCTCTCGGCTCATTACGTCACGCCGGTGCTCCCGCGCTCACTTCATCCTTTAGCTCCCTAGCCGTTCCGGCTTCTTGAGTCATACCGGGCGGTTATAGCTTTCAACTGGACCTGTCGTCGTGCCTTCCAGATTCTTGCCGGACAACCCTGAGCTTCCACGCTCACCTCAACCAGCTGCATCTAAACAGTAAGCCTGTTCCTTTACTTTCTGGAACGTTGCCACGTCCTCGTTTCCCTTCGAGGTTCGTGTTGACGTCCCTAGATTAATGGTGTGTAAGACATCTCCCATCACTAGCATTTCACTCTGCTTGCTATGTTGAGCTAAGGTGAGGAGTGTGACTAAGGATGCCATGGCTGCTGACGGGTATAAGAAATGACTTCTGGGCTGCACCGTTTGCTGGCCTCCATTTTTTCCACAACGCTACTGCTTTTTGCCGGCTGGCACTGGGATACATATGCCGGTGCAGTAGCATTTGCTGGTGCAGACTTGGCAAACCCAGGGGCTGAAAAATGATTGGCTCGGGAACCAGGAAGTATGGAGGTGGGACAGATTGTACAATTACATTTACATTTTACACTTACATCAGTTTGGACTGGGCCAGGTGCGACCAGGTTTTGTTTACACAGCCTTCTTAGGAATGCAGCCAATGAAATAGACAGGGCGAGCCTGTTAAGTAGCATGGAGCAGTCTGTAGTGTTCTAACTAAACGCCACTAGTGAGTAGCAGGCGTGAGCAGTGGAGACTCTGACATGAAGCACACAGCTTCCTACTCTCACTAAACAGCAGTGCTGGCGTGGGCTCCTCTCCCATTCAAGAGTGCGGCTGGTCTGGGCTGCATTCGGAGATGTTTACCCCACTAACAGTTGGGTTTGTATGAACAATGCATGGATAACACCAATGTAAATGCAATTACCCAACCAGGGCCAGACTGAGTTGACCCAAGTGTAAACAGGCCAAAAGTCCTTCTATTGCTTTTTAATAGGAGAATAACTGGCAACCCCCCAGCTGGCTGAGAAGCAAATCTGTTTCAATGTGACCTCCCTTCCAACAAGATAGAGACATTACACTGTTTTGTGATTATATCACTATATAATTCTTACTTATTGCACCTTTAAAATCTTAGGAGAGAAATAGAGTTTAAATACTTCAGGACTGATCAGCTAACAGCTAAGAATATTGCTGCCATCCTAAACAGCTCAAATATGACAAGTTCACGCATGTCATTTTATAAACAACCATGTAAGGGTTTTAAGAAACAGCTGTCAAATTTTGGAGATTCAGTTTGTTTTAAAATGGCAGTAACCCTCTTTAGACTTGGCTATTTTTTGGGGGGGAAACCCAGGAATAATTTATATATAGAAAAAAATCACCAAATGTTGAAAAACGTCTTTTTTTTGTGGGTTTTGGAAATAAATTGCATTGATTTAAAGTTACAAGTAGCATATTCAGAAGGGCTGAAGAGCTACACGTGGCCCAGAATTAAAAGTTATACCCAGGTTGAGTCCTAAATGATTAAACTCTGTTTCAGGTGAAGAAAATGATTTTAACTTTTGACCGAAACATTCTGTAAAAGCTGAAAAATCCCCTCAATAGTCAAAACGACCCTTTGTTGCAGGAACACTCTGCAATCAAAAATAAGTTAAATGTGTGTTTTTCCGAGTATAATAAGCGTATCTAAAACACTTCAAGCTAATCCTGCCAAATAAAACTCCCATGAAATATTAACACAAAGAGTGATGATGCCTCTGAAGTTGAATGTTCACAGAGAGCCTGATGGCCTCGTCTGCATTTGGTGATCAAAGCTGAGCTTGGAGGCCGATGCAGAGATACGTCATGTGGAAAGTAATATGGAGGAGTTACCTTGTCAAATAATGCGCTGCAGGTTCTAAGGCTGACAGGAGGCCCAGAAGACAGCAGTCGGTTCTGAATGTGAAGGTTGAAAATGGGAGGATTTACTCAAAACAAACCCACACAAGTGTGTAAGACTAAATTTCAGAGGAGGGGGGAAGAGGGAGCAAGGAGGGGGGTAGCAGTTAAGGGGGAGGACTTCATGTCCATACATCGTGTTGTCCTAACACACAGAATGAGCAAAGGACAGGACTGTCCACGAGAAGCCTTCAACAACATTCATTAAGAGAATTTAGATGTTTGTCCTGAAGCCTGCAGACAATAAGGCTTAATTTCACTCCACAGTCCAAACGGAACATATTAGCGTAATTAGATGAAATCTCCATTATTGTATCTCCTCCTGCAGTCCTCGTTTCGCTGCTTGATGAAGAACTTCATTCACATTTTGTTGTGCAGCTGAGATTTGTTAGGCAACTTTGGTCACCTTCATAACAGGATGCGAAGTTATATCATCCTGGAGAATTCTAACTGACTTCTGTATCATTTATGACTGCTTGGATGACTTAATTATGGCCAAATCCCCAAAAATGGTTCAAACACAGATTTCAAGTAGATGATTCCCTATGAAAAACCTGAAAATCACAATGGTGAGAATTCTTCTTTCAAATAGAATCAACTTGTTTACCTCCATATTTCAACTTTATGGTTTTGAGCTCAAACCATTGGCCAAAAGAAGAGGAAACACTAAATAAACAAGATCGATTGTGTGCTGTTGTGATCTACTGGGCAGTGAAAAGCCTCCTAAACATGACTAAGCAAAAATGAAACTGTTACTAAAGAGCTCTGTGGTGACGTGTTAGAACTGGTGAAGAGAATAAATGATTCAAGTCCGTTGGCTTCTTCCATAGCAGAGTCTGCAGAGAAATCCAGAGAACTTCCTTTAACCCTTCACAATAAAGGTCTGAAACATGGACTCGTACTTCTAAACATGTGAAGCGCATTAGATTAGTTCTCTAACTATTTGATAAACTTCATTTGTTTAGAGGTAAATGCAAATGGCTGGGACTCTTATTATGAAGGATTAAAGGAAGTTATTTAAGTTCCTCCATGGGTGGTGCTGTGTAAGGAGCCAAACCTGCACCAAACAGTGAAAAAGTGATAGATTTTTATAGTTTACAAACTAAAACACACCCAGAACCATCTTTTACAACAATAATCAACAACAACAGCAGCAGCAATACTGCTAAGTATAATAATAATAGAAACAACAAATCCGGTTAGGTTCAGCAGCACAACATGGCTTACTTCCCAGGACCATTTTCTCAGCATTTTGAACTCTACCACAAGTTGATGCACCAAGCATGATGGGCTCTTCATGAAGTTTGTATTGTATGCTGGAAACATGGGAGTGATGGAGTTTCCAGTCAGGTGAGACCCACTCACTGTCTGACAGTTACTGTTGCTACATGGTTAAATAAAAACTTACCAAAGGAAAAACAGGATAAACGATAAAAACCACAACATTAAAGCATCAAAACATCCTTCATCAGAAACAGGCATTTAAATTAAAGGAATAGCAATCGATGATTTTCTTCCGGGTGGATCACGTCAACCATTGGTCCGCAAAAATGTCAATTTCTGGTGAAGCCAATCCTGGGTTAGTTTTCACTTCCTGCGCATGCGTACTCTGTGCAGCCCCGTGATCTCATGGAAATCAGGAAGGGGTTAATGCGGTCCAGTCCGCTCCCCACAGACGCCGCTGTTGCCGGTTTTCTGCTCGAGAGGTAAGCTAAAGTTTTGCATGCTATTTTTAGAGCCTCTTATTACACATTACAGCCAGCAACTACTTGTAAACAGGCGCTGGGAAAGTGTTGCGCAACGTGGGGAGGGTGGTTCTTTTTTGAAATTGAGAAACATCGATTGCTATACCTTTAAGCCTTTCATTTCACATTTACAAAATAAATTAATTCCTTCAATCGATAAATATTCATTTATAGAGCACCTTTCACTGTATCTGTGGAAGCCCAAGGTGCTGAACATAACAGATTAAAATAAAATAGAGTTATGAAAAGTCCACATACAAGCATAAACACAGGATAGAATATATATACATATATATACAAATATATATACATTAATATACATATATATATACATTAATATACATATATATATATACATATATATATATATATATATATATATATATATATATATATATATATATATATATATATATATATATATATATATGCACATATGCACATACATACATACATAATAGAAGGATAAGACACATAAAACCAAGTCACAAAAATGCCAAACGATTAAAATTACTCTTCAAGCGACTCTTGAAGACATGGAGTGAGGGTGACTGTTTTTAATGCTGAGTGGCAGCTCACTCCAGAGGGATGGAGCCAAGACCAAGGAAGCCCAATCTCCTCTAGATCTGTATCGGGAGTGAGGAACAGCTCAGCCAAGCATAGAGATCGTGAAGGGGCGTGACGTGTTAATAATGCTGCCATGTATGGTGGAGCACCACCATATTAAGACCGGAAGACAAAGCAAAGGACCTTTAATTTCGCCTGAAAGACCACAGGAAGCCAGTGTAACAGTGACAGCACAGGAGTAATATGTGCTGATTCCCTCGTCCCTGTCAGAAACCTGGCTGCCGAGTTCGAAACCAAATGGAGACGATTTATAACTGCCTGGCTCAACCCAACATATAGAGTATTACAATAGTCGAGCCTTACGACGCATGGATGGTCATCCCTTTTCCTAGAGAATGTGTAGCTTTACAACTTAAACCAATTTAAACATTCACCTGCTACGTTGTGGTTTAACTCTCTGGAGGCAGGCGTCGCAGATTTACAACGCTAAAACCTACCTACCTGGGGCCTTATTTATCAAGCTTGCTTACACACAAAACAGGGTCGGAAAACTGCGTAAGCAACTTTCCACGCAAACTTTGGGATTTTTGAAAGAAAACTTAGCGAAAAAATGTGCGCACCTTTAAGTTGACTAAGGACCTGGCTTACGCACATTTTGGACATGGAGAGCACCTGCAGTGCTGCTGCTGAGAAGATACAATTATGAAATCCAGCAGCATTATCACTTGTACTGCTTCGTTTTCACACAGAACAAGACCCCCCACACACACATACATGCGCGCGCACACACAGCCTGAAGTGCAGAATACGGAATGCAGAATATCAGCAGGGGGACAGATTGAGACAGAATGTCATGTGTCTGTGACAGTGTGTGTCCTGTCACTGTGACCCAATTGATCATGTGCCCTGGCTTCTTGAATAAGGGAGATCTCTGTTTGGCTGACTGGTTAGCACGCATGACTTACACCCAAGAGTCTGGGGATCGAATCGCGATTGGACCATTTTTTAATATCTGCCACAGATCTCTCTGAAGAATTCACAACATTGACGGCTTCAGCAAATGTGCCACTCCGTGGATTTTCTCTTTTTTGTTTTGGAAAAGCACTTCCTTTCATTTCCCCACCTCACCCACAGGTACCTCAATTTCTGCTTCTGTGAAATAGCGCTTCCTTGATCTGTCTTGACATACAGTCGCCATCGTCACTGGCGGAGCTCTGCAACAGCCAGCTTATGTATGTGCATGAGATCCATAAGGCACTTTGCATTGACTATATATGGCAGTAAGTGGGCGTGGTGAGGGCGGGATGTGACTAAAATGCAGCTGAGAAACATTCTCGTTAATCTCCGATTTATGAAGCGGATATTGCGTGCAGCTGTGCGTACTCCATGTTTGATAGATCACAAACCTACTTGGCGTAAGTACTTTTTTTTGCTGAGCTTAAGTACGGTTTTAGTAAGGATTCTACGCAACGTTTGATAAATGAGACCCCTGGTTACTCCACATACATATTTCATGAGCATTTTTTAACTCAGAAGTACCCCTGAAGTACGATTAGAACAATCTGTCAGAGCTCATCAAGTGAGGTGATTGTGTCCTCAGAAAACAGACGGTTTTCTTCTTCAGATCAGTTCTTGGCAGCTCTTCTGTTAGCTCAGGATATCAGCAGCATGGAAGCCAACAGCTGAGTCACCTCTGCAGGAGACTGATCATGGTGACAAGACTGAGATTCCTCTAAATGTCTCTGCTGGACTAGCACCAAGTGACCACCACACCCTTTTACCCCTCACTTCCCATCACGCCATGTGTCGGCATGAGGACATCCCAGCAGAGCTTCCCTTAGGCAGTAAATCTAACTTCTCCTCGCAGAGAGAGACATTCAAAGCATAAAAAGAGGTCAGACCAGGAGGAGTCTTTCTATATGCAGTGAGGGGAAGCTTTATGTGCATTTTAAAATCTGGTGGGTGAAAATAATAATAATAGTAACAGGCAGCAATAACTCGTTCAGTTGCCACCAGTTTTGTGAATGAGCTGCAAAACATCCTGACATGTGTGCAAAATTCAGATTGGATCCTCTTATGATGGTAGCAAACCTCTAGGGAGGAAAACAGATGCACTTGTGGTAAAAAGAAAGACCACTGCCTCTCAGCTGTAGATTTTTGTGAATCAGAACGTAATAAAAATGATCCAATCTTTACCGGTGTAAAAACATAATTATTCTAATCTAAACTCAACTGTATGAAAACAAATCGATTCCACCCTGTTGTTTGGTGTTAATTAGAGACAAAGGGGTTGGGGTTAGGGTTAAGATCACTCTAGTCATGCTGAGGTCTGAACTTTGACTGATCACCTAGCTGCTGTTTTCTAATCCAGTTTCACAGATGGTTTCACATCAAGATGCCCATACCATCAGCCCTCCACCACCGTGCTGACTGCTGGTGTCAGATACATCGTTACGTTGTGTTTGGTTTTCATCAAAGCTGTGCATTATGGTAAACGTCTCCACAGTGGAAGAATAAGATGAGAGGACAGAAGATATTAATTAACCAGTCGATCTATGTCCCTACCCTTATCTATGGTCACAAGCGTTGGTTAGCGACTGAAAGAATGAGATGGCAGATACAAGCGGCTGAGTTTTCTCTGCAGGGTGTCTGGGCTCTCCCTTATGGTTCATACTATGGTCAGCTCGGTCTGGCCCTGGTAGGGTCAGCGCACTTATATCAGCGCTGTCCATGTGGAGCAAATCCCTGTTTTGGCTCTGCTTCCCTGTGGTTCGTTTCGTGCTGAGCTGATCCCACACACCCACCTATGAACTCATTGGCCAGCTTAAGTTATGTCACTCATGCCTACCTACGCAGCAGGAGCCACTGGTTGGCCTGGCGGTGTGCATGTGATGTCAATATGCCCGACCAAACAGAAATTTTAGACAAAGAAATTTTTACATTTAAATCACACCCTGACTATGCTCAGGTAGACTCCACCAGCAGTGGCTTCCTGCATACACAATTCACTGGAAATCTGAATGCAGGATCCCTGACTGCAACTCGGACCGGGAACAGCTGCAGTGCAAGGACTGACCGTCTGCTGTGAGTGTTCATGGGTCGGAAAGGAGCCCACAGCAGCACCACTGCTCAGTGAAATGAGCAGGAAGCTGTGTGCTTAATGTTACAGTCTCCAAAAGAAACACGCTAGCTTTTGTTGACTAACTTGTGGCGCTTAGGAAGGACTCCACGGACTTGTCCGCACCAGTCTAGGGGAGCCCGCCCGTGTCCTTGACCACGTCTGCGTGCCCAAGAAGGTCATGTAAACGCAACCGGGCCGCGCAGGCTGTACCCAGCCAGCCCAGCCAGAGGTGACCCCAGTGTAAATGAGCCATTAGAGATGAGGTGAGAAGCTGGGCCATTCAAGAGGGGCTCAGAGTAGATCTGCTGTGTCTCCACACTCAAAGGAGCCAGTTGAGGTGGCTCGGGCATCTGGTCAAGGATGCCTCCTAGATGCCTCCTTGGTGAAGTTTTCCGGGCACATCCAACCAGGAGGAAACCTAAAAACCCATGACATGCTGGAGGGACTATTTTCAACGCTGGTCAGGGAACGCCTTGGGATTCCCCAGAGAAGCTGGTCCAAGTCCCTGGGGAGAGGAACGCCTGGATCCCTCTGCCTAAGTTGCTGCCCCCATGACCCGACCCCAGGTAAGAGAATGGGTGGATGGACCCTCACATTAGTCTCATCTTTCTGGTCTTATGGTTTATTCAGAGGCAAGAAACCTAAGCCATGCGGTCATTTTCCTTTTAGAGAAAATAGGATTTCTCCTCAGAGCCCTTGAGTTGGTTGCTACTTTTTGATCAGACCTTGGGCTGGCCTTACTGGGACTTCTGGGAACACAGACAGCTGCCTTAAACCATTTTAACCAGTGAATAATCTTTTTGCAGTAGAATGATAGACACCAATTTGTTAGGAGATGACCTTTAACCTTTCTCAGCTTGACCTGCAAACTGCCCAAACTCATGCTTTAATAGAAGAGCATAAACTGATGATCAGTTAATATTTGATTATTCCCCCAACACACACACACACACACACACACACACACACACACACACACACACACACACACACACACACACACACACACACACACACACACACACACACACACACACACACACACACACACACACACACACACACACACACACACACACACACACTTTTTCATTTTGGCTTCTTTTCTGGTGGAATCTGTTCTGTTTTTTTACATTTGAGGTTAAATTTGAATCAAATCCAAAATGGATCATTTTCACATAATATTTCAACTTACCTACAAAATGAAAAGCTTTCACCAGTTTTAGTTAAATAGATGACTAACATTTAAAAAAATCATGATTTTGGCAAAGGGTTAGGTAAAACGTCAAGAAAACATAATAATAATAATAAAAATAATAAATACAGAAATAATAACAAAGATTTTACAGCCAACATTCATCAAAGTGGGTTTAGGGTCATAAAAACTCACCAGAGAGTTTGCTGCTATGTATCCATGTGCTGTCTTGTCTGAAATAAAAACAAATAATTTGCATTAAACACATAATTGATTTTTACGATTAATTTATAAATATTTGTAAAATAAAAATTCTTGTTTGAGCTTACCTCCTGAGGTGAAGCTCATGTATTTCTGATTGTTGACGGTCTCTTTGGAGTCGTAGAACTTCAGCACGTCCAACACGGCCTGCGGGTTCTTCTTCTGCTCCAGCTTAGTGATGTTCGAGGTCTGCAGGAGCCGTGCCCATTGCTCCGGGATTCCCTGAACACACACACACAGGTTACATTCAAACAGGAACATGTAAATGGAGTTTTAGAATAGAATAGAATAGAATAGAATAGAATAGAATAGAATAGAATAGAATAGAATAGAATAGAATTTGTTGATCCCACAGTGGGGAAATTCACTTGTTATAGCAGCACCAACACTTAAGAGAATAATTTGAGGAAAAATAATAACAAAGACATAGGCAGTAATCTAGTATTAAAACATTCAACCACTAAAAACCATAAATAAAAAATGAAAAACCAAAACTACGCAGCATACTGTAAGGGACACAGACATGCAATGTAAATCTGGTATTGCACAAGTATTGAACACATACTGAGTATTGCATTGGTGGTGTTGTGTACCAGGATAATGCCGGTACCAGTTAAGCTGGGGAGTTCTACACTCTTACTGCAGGGGGGATGAATGACCTACGGTAGTGTTCTGTTTTACTTCTGGGATGTCTCAGTCTGCTTCTGAAGGAGCGGTCCATGGTCTCCACAGTGGAACACAGCGGATGGGAGGGTTTTTTAAGATGGAGGTCTTCTTCCCAGCATCCTCCTTTCACACGTCTCCTCAACTGTATACAGTGAGCAGCTAAGAACTGAGCTAGCTTTGTGAAGTAGCTTGTTCAGTCTCTTCCTGCCTCGGTCAGAGCTGCCTGCACCCCAACAGACCACAGCAGAGTGGATAACAAAGCCAACCACAGAGTGAAAAAACGATTTTAGCAGTTGGGAATGAACTCCGAAGGACCTCAGCCTCCTCAGGAGGTGGAGGCGGCTTTGGGCCTTCTTATTCAGAGCATCTGTGTTGTTGGACCAGTTCAGTTTGCTGTTGAGGTGAACACCCAGGTACTTAAAGGTATCCATCACCTCAGTGTCTGCTCTCTGGATGTTTACCGGTGAGTGAGAAGTGTTTCTCTGGAAGTCATTCACCATTTCCTTTGTCTTACTGGTGTTCAAGAGAAGGTGGTTACGCTCACACCTGTCCACAAAGTATATGATGACTGACCTGTACTTCTGGTCATTCCCCTCAGACACACAACTAACAATGGTCGAGTCATCAGAGAACTTCTGGAGGTGACAGCTGCTGGTGTTGCAGGTGAAGTCAGAGGTGAAGAAGGTGAAGAGAAAGAGTGAAAGCACCATACCCTGTGGAGCTCCATTACTGCACACAACCACCTCAGATGTACAGTTGTGCAGCCTCAAATACTGTGGCCTGTTGGTGAGGTAGTTGATGGTTCATGCAGTCAGATGTTCGTCCACTCCTGCACCCCCCCATCTCCTGCTGCAAACACGGCTGGATGGTGTTGAAGGCACTTGAGAAGTTTTTCTTGGTGGACAAGTGTTGAGTTCCCATGACAGATGTAAACATGCATCCTTGTGCCATTGGTGGCAATGTTGCCTCGCAGCAAGATGGTTGCAGGTTCGAATCCCAGCTAAAGCCATACTGCGTGGTTTTAAAATGTTCTTCCCATGCATGTGTGGGCTTTCTGGGAACTGTGGTTTCTTCCCACAGATCAACCATGCATGCCAGGCTGATTCAATCCACTGGTATTTCAAAAAATGTAAGTTGCTTTGGATAAAAATTAACTGGCAACGATGGTAGGAGAGTTAACCAGAGGGTTGCAGGATAGAGCCTCGCTCAGTCTGTCACAGTCGTCATGTCCTTGGTCAAGAAACTTACCTGCCTTTCCTGCTGGTGGTGGTCAGAGGGAATGATGGTGCCTGTGTTCAGCAGCATCGCTTCTGTCAGTGAGCCCCAGGGCAGCTGTGGCTGCAATGTAGCTCATCACCAGTGTGTGAATGTGTGTGCGTGGTTGAATGATTGTTTGTGCTGTAAAGAGCCTGGGGGGTTGCTATATAATTACAGGTCATTTGCCATTTTTAACCATAAATCAGTTTTTGGGGCAACACAGATTCCCTTACGTACAGACTTCACACTCACTAGAAATCTAGAGATGACTCATACGCCTGAGTTTTTGTCTTTCTAAATGATCAATGATTGTTTAATGCTGGTTTTCTTTCATCGCTCTTCTCACTTTTACAAATGTACAAAAATCTTCCCCTGAAAATATAAAATAAGCAAAATCTAAATGCTCTTTTTAAACTGTGTTAAAACCAGGCTTTGTTTGCAGCAAACGATCAAGGTACAACTGTCACTAAAGTCATTGTGGGCCAAGAACAAACATTTGAAAGTCAAATTAAGCTTGGCACATCATCCCTAGTGCCAAGGTGGTTTTATATGAGATCCATTGAGCCTAAATAAGGATGTTGAGTGACTTCTGGAGATGAGATTTCTGCCATAGATGGACTGATTCCTACCGTGAACTCTCCCGTTATAGCATCAAAGCCAACATGGATGGTGTGTTCAAAGTCTGAGGGTAGAGATATCTCTGGACGTTCCTTCTCCTTCTTTTTGTTTGCTGCAGAGAAGAAAAAATAAAATATTAAAGCCCTAATTTCTGATGTTTATCCATAAAGAAGTTAGAGTAGGTCTGAATCGATCCAGGGGTGGAGAAGGAGAGGGGGCTCACTTTTATCTCCTCCAGGGAAGATGGAGCGCAGGCGAGCTTTCTTGTTCTTCTCTTCAGGAGCCATTGGAAGTGGTTTGGTTGCGTGATTCACTGACGAAGAGTCTCGGGAACTACTGTTCATTCTCAAGGGGGGGGCTGGCGGTTTCTCTTCAATTTCGACACTATCAGACATGTTTAGTAGCACTTACAATGTCCTGGGTGGAAAAAGACAAGAGACACATACAGGAGATAAATGCATGTTTAGATGTGAGGTATTAAAGGAGTTTAATGAGCTTGTTATTGTCCCCAGCCATTTTAGGTTTCTCGATATATAGATAGAGGTTCTCGGCTCAATAGCACAAATCACGACAAAATAAATGATTCATGCTTGGGATGCTCTGATATTAAAAACCAAACTTCTTACTTTTATTATTAAGTGCAAACTCTCTGGTAAATAATGAAGACAAAGCAGGACAACAGTCATGTTTGTAACGTTGGAAAAAGCTGATAACGGCCCATATCACCATAGAGAGCTCGAGTCACACCCATCTACATGACCATGGGTGGCCAACTGCCCAAAAAATGAACAGGAACTTATGAATGGACTAAAGTTATTTTCTTATTCGGTTTGATTTGTGCCATTGATTTCACATATCCGTGAATTTTCAAGACACATTTTGATGACAAGAAAGCACTTATTTTCAAAAGTTTTTTTAGGTTTTGTGTGAAAACACGTAATGAACTACAAATGCTCGTCTCACCAAATTTACGTCATCGAACCAGACACAGAGAAGAGGGGGGAAAAAAGGGCTGTAAGTTTGGCGAGCTGTGAATCCTTCTTCCAGGACAAAAGAAAGATCATTAATCTAAGAGGAAATCACATTAACCACTATAAATCAGGCCATTTGGTAAGTAGCAGCTACGCTGGGGGAAAGGAGATTCTGAGATGACGTCATATATGCAACGTCTGATTTGTAGTCTTTTTAATTCTGCATTTTAATAAGCTATTATATCTCAAAGTATGTGACAGGCATGGTCGAAGCACACAAATACTTTTCATTTAAACTGAAGTACAACATATGTGTGATTCAGGGCGCAAGGCAAAGCAGATTAGAATACAGCTTTTATTGCCTCTTCACTTTGCATTCATTTGTCTTTTTTGTTCCAGGAACCCATGAGCCGACCGGAAGGGGAGGAGACTTAGGCTTCCTATATGAATACCCTAAAGGAATATATTTGGCCTTAAAGGCACATGAAGTAAAAATCATACCCTGTGGTCAAATGTGGGAACTGCAGTCCGTGTTTTAAAACAAACAAGTGACCTCCTCCCTCCTGGTTGAGTTTCTTATTGTACCTTCACATTAATCCCAGTTACCCTAAAGACCTACACCAAACACACAGTGCTGCCATCATCATGTGACAGAACATTTAGGTTTGGTACAGTCAGTCTGTTCATAAAATTTAAGGATAAATTTAATTAGTAAAGCAATGAAATAATGAACAGTTTTAACAATTCTGCAATAATTATGTTCTACTCTTAGTTGTTGCAAGAGAGCTTTTCAAGACTGATTTGTAAGTGTTGATAATAGGGATGTGTATGGGTGAAATTATGGCGATACATACGATATATCACGATATTTTGCAAAACATTCAGCCAGACGTTATTAGCGATTTTTTTTTTCAGAAGAACAGTCCAAACTGATACTTAACATGTTTAACATGAGGTATCTGAACCATAATAGAGGGATTTACATTTCAATGGTGGAAACAAAACCCATTGCACATCACTGCCATCTAGCGGTCGGTGTTTGAATTGCACTAAAAGAAAAGAAAATACGCAACTGTTTGCATGTAAATTCTTCCAAAGATTAGATACACAGCTTTTGAATATCGATATAATATCGCTGGGAAAAAAACATGATATACTGCCATATCGATATTTTCCTTCATGCCCTATGAGTGAGCGTGTGCGTGTGTGCGTGTGAGTGAGTGAGTGAGTGAGTGAGTGAGTGGTTTCCGGATGTGATGTCCAGTGGATCTGTTCAGCCATGAAAACAGGACCTTGGATACGACTCTAAGAGAACCTGGCATGAGGAAAGCCTTCTATCCTCCTTCCTCCACTGTCTCACCCTCAGGCCAAGCCCATCGTGAGATGTGCAGCACAGGCTTCACCAGAAAGAGGACATCCAGGCTGCTCCCATTAATGGAGACCTACATTGGCAAACAGACTCACTCCTTGCCTCTAAAACAGCACTTCCTACTTAAGGATATAGAGCTATCTCCTGCAGAAGACAGAAATCTGATCGTCACATGTTCAAATACCCTTACTCTGATGCATGTCTGACCAAACACAAATAATAAAAAGGTGTAAATCCTATAATTCACCCATCGTTTTACTGCTGTGGTTTCTACCACTTTAGGTGATTTCCAGGTGAGAGTCTAGACAACAGCGGAGAGAACCGGTTCTCTCGGGGAGTTTGGGCGTGTCAAAACCAACAAAACTATCTCACAATGTTGACACACTACAACAACAATCAACAACCAGTTCAGACAATAAGGACACAAAGAGATATGCTATCTCACATCTACAAGACAAAAAGAAAACATTTTTGTAAATTCTCTCTTTTTTTGTGTCACAAACTTTCTGTATCATCCTGTTTTAATACGCAAATAAAGTTATATGGTGTCATTTTGTTTTATAATTTACATACATTTCCAGAAAGAGATCGGAATGCTGGATAACGTCGCCTTCTAGTTTCCAACTTTGTTTTGGTGGCACGCGGCAGTCAAAGTTTATACAAATGAATAGGAAACAGGGAAAGAAAACAGATAAAACTGTCTTTTTAACATGTACAAGCAGTGTTTCCCTCCTGTGTAAAACCTGCATGTTATAAACAAATAAAAGTCTGAGGAGCAGAAAATGAACTTTTTAGTTCCAAGATTAATAAAAATGTCTACAAAACATCTGAAACTTTGTTCTATTAGTTAAAACATATCAGGTTCTCTGTTGAGCAGGTAAAAGTAAAAAGAAAGAAAAACTTAATTAAACTTTGTGATTTTCTTTGATGTTGCAAAATATTAGGAGGCCACAGACCTAGAAAGAAAAATTGTGGCTACGTTTTTTTAAACTTTGAACTTCCCTATGTAAATAATTTCATACAAAATGCATGAGAATGTTTAGAAAATCGTATCAGAATTCCTTAAAGGTGGGGTATGATGTTTTTTTCTGAAGCGTTTTTTTTCTCTTCATATACTGATGGCAACCAACAAATTTAAAGTTTTGCCCCAAAAATGATTTCCATCCCATCTGAACTGTAAAATCTTGGAAAACGTCCTGTTCTTCTTGATCGGATCATAACCAATCCACTAAAACGCTGAGGTGAATGTCCCTCCCCTCTCTGTGCATACACATCCTTGTGCAGGAATAGCGTGTTCTAAGCTGGAGCAGCTGAACAGGAAGCGAAACCAGAGCTGGGCTAGCTAATGTAATGGATTGTAATTCCCTTTCTATATGCAAACTTAATTGAAGGGGTTGTTATATATTTTGTTCATAATCTGGTTGTGTTTTTGTTGAGAAAAGTTTAGCTGATGGACCGGTTGTCTGTGAAAGCAGAAAAAGTCACACAATATTAGCTAGCATTCTAAACTCTCATACAGTTATGTAGGTGTGTTATGTTACAAATGATGACAGAAAAGGATAAATAATATTGTGTTTATATGGTTCTTTCTAGTGTTCTACCATTTTCTGCAAGCATCAGATCCTGTGACTCAAGACGGGAGCCTGAAAATAGGAGGTTGGACCTCAGAATTGGTATTTTTTGTTAGTTTCTTTTGTTTTTTTGTGAAAAGGTAGCTTGCTTGAAGAAACCCACATGGCAGCAAAAAAGGATATCCCCATTTAAGCAGACCACAATCTACCTCTGCTCAGACTAGCCGTTAGCCCATTAAGCCCTGTCATAACTAACCTACGTTTTTAGACACAGGTTGTTTAATCTTACAAGTAAACTTTTATATCATCAGTAAACGAGTATGATTTATTAAAGGTGCATTATCAATCAATCAATCAATCAAAGCTTTATTTATAAAGCGCCTTCCGCAACCCTGTCAGGAAGCCCAAGGCGCTGAACATTATGTAGAAATGACATAAAAATTACATCCTGCCGTAATATTTGGTTACTGCAACCCCTTTAAACAGCTCTGGCGCTTTTTGCCGTCCGTCGTCAAATTACAATTGTCAGCGCTGCAGTATTAGTTTGCAGGAGACACCACACCCCCACACACTGATGGTAAACAGTAGTGATGTCTCTCCTTCCTTTGTTTTAAAAGGAGAAAACCTGACAATCCTGCAGCCAGCTGGATAAGAAATATGACTCACCTTCATTCCACAATGACTGAAACATTAGACTCTTTTGGGATTTTCTCACTGTAAAAATCTCACTATATTCTTACATACTGCACCTTTAATGTAACACAAACAAAAGGAATAGGGAGCATTTCTGCTATCTGAGTCATTAGCATCTTGATGACATTTTCAAATCAGGCAGCAGGTGAGAACCACGATAATAAAAACCCAGGTCTTAGCGGCTGTAAGGCTAATCGCCTACTTGCTGAAGCCACTCGTCTGTGCGCTCCAACAGCTAAAAGTGGTGGATTCACTAAAGCCCAGACGTGACTGATTCTTCACTCACTCACATAAAAACACTGACCTATTTACTGTGCAGGCAGGCGAGCAGTCAGTCCCTGAAACAAGCAGCTTCTCTCTCGGAATCACTCGTACATCGACTCGTCTCTCAGCATTCAACATCAACTGCATGCCTGACTTGTGTCTGAATCCCAGAACATCGGCAGGAAACCATGTCTGAGTTCCACTTCATTTAAACACTGTTGAACAGCATTTACAGCTGACGTTACACAAAGCTGACCCACACTATGTTCATTTACTAAACTGACACCCCTAAAATCGACTTGGCATGCTTCAGCAACAAAAAGAGAACCTGAAAGTGTCTGAAGATGGACAAACCCACCATCGACACCCCAGCTCAGCTCAAATGTTGCATCAAATATTAAAAGTTTCCATGAGAAGCAGCGCTTCCTTGGCTCTTTCAAACATTAATGCTGAATCTGAATGGCTAAAACAGAAAAGGCTCTAATCTAAAACCCTTGGCTGCCCAGTAATGGCCCCCGTGATGGTGGGGTGGGGGTGCTCAGCTTGGCG